TTTGAAACTTATAGATATAGGCAAGGACTTTCTCAATGGAACCCCAGCAGCTCATCAACTAAGAGATAGCGTAGATAAATGGGACTTCATAAAACTAAAAAGCTTCTGTTCATCAAAAGAAATGTCTCTAAACTGAAGAGCCCACCCACAGAGTGGGAGAAAATATTTGCCAGCTACACATCAGACAAAGGACTGATAACCAGAATATATAGGGAACTCAAAAAACTAAATTCTCCCAAAATTAATGAACCAATAAAGAAATGGACAAGTGAACTAAACAGAACTTTCTCAAAAGAAGAAATTCAAATGGCCAAAAAAAACCACATGAAAAAATGCTCACCATCTCTAGTCATAAAGGAAATGCAAATTAAAACCACACTAAGATTCCACCTCACCCCTGTTAGAATAGCCATCATTAGCAACACCACCAACAACAGGTGTTGGCGAGGATGTGGGGAAAAAGGAACCCTCTTACACTGCTGGTGGGAATGTAAACTAGTACAACCACTCTGGAAAAAAATTTGGAGGCTTCTTAAAAATCTAAACATAGACCTGCCATATGATCCAGCAATCCCACTCCTGGGGATATACCCAAAAGACTGTGACACAGGTTACTCCAGAGGCACCTGCACACCCATGTTTGTTGCAGCACTATTCACAATAGCCAAGTTATGGAAACAGCCAAGATGCCCCACCACTTACAAATGGATTAAGAAATGTGGTATTTATACTCAATGGAATTTTATGACGCCATGAAGAAGAATGAAATCTTATCATTCACAAATAAATGGATGGAACTGGAGAACATCATTCTGAGTGAGGTTAGCCTGGCCCAAAAGACCAAAAATCGTATGTTCTCCCTCATATGCAGACATTAGATCAAGGGTAAACACAAGGGGATTGGACTTTGATCACATGATAAAGAGAGAGCACACAGGGAGGTATGAGGATAGGTTAGACACCCAAAAAACGGATAGCATTTGTTGCCCTCAATGCAGAGAAACTAATGCAGATACTTTAAAGTGACAGAGGCCAATAGGAGAATTGGACCAGGAACTAGAGAAAAGGTTAGTTCGAGAAGAATTAATTCAGAAGGTAGCACACATGCACAGGAAAGCAATGCAAGTCAATGCCCTGTATAGCTATCCTTATCTCAACTAGCAAAAACCCTTGTTCCTTCCTATTATTGCTTATACTCTCTCTTCAACAAAATTAGAGATAAGGGCAAAATAGTTTCTGCCTGGTAGCGAGGCGGGGGAGAGGGAAGGGCAGGGGAGGTAAGGGAGGGTGTGGAGGGAAGGGGGGAGAAATGACCCAAACATTGTATGCACATATGAATAAAAGAAAAAAAATTTAAATAACATTTAACCCAACAATTTTCATTTCAACATGTAAGCAATATGAAAATTATTAGTGAGATATTTTATATTCCCAATCTTTGAAATCCAGTTTTCATTTTATGCTTACAGTACATCTCAATCAGGAAGACCCGCATTTCAAGTGTTCAATAGTCACGTGTGACTAGTGGACAAGGCACAGTTGACACATCTTAGGTACAGGTTGTATCTGGTGACCTCAGAGATTCTTTTCTGAACCTGAAAGTAGAATGCTAATGACAATGGTGTAAATGCTAACCATCATTTTCTGGGCATTTGCCTTGTACCTTGTACGTCTCATTTGATCCTCGCAACACCACTATGGCCTAATAACTTGCTTTTTATTGTCGTAAAATATATATAAGATTTGCCCTTTTAACCATTTAAGTGCCTCATATTCTTCATACTTTTTTATGTGACCAGGTTTCATGATGGTTGTGTGTGTGTGTGTGTGTGTGTGTGTGTGTAGAGAGAGAGAAAAAGAGAGAGAGAGAAGCTGCTGGCTGTGGGCAGCCTTCTTTGGGGGTGCTGCATAGGGTGGGGTAGGGCACAGAAGTCCCATGTGGCTTCCATGGGAAGTTTGAGGTCCTGGACCCCTCCAGGGATTCGGCTCCCTCCTCCTCACAGCTGAAGGGTGGTCGGCATGGTCAGCAGGCTAGCTGGAGCCCCACCAGGACCCCTCAGAGGGCCCCTCCTCTTGGTGAGGCTGTGATTTTGAGTAAACTGGAAGTTAGGCCAGCATGGCTCGAAAGCCTCCTGCTCCTCGCTGGCTAGGTGACCTCTAGCCAGGCAGTTTATCATCCTAAACCTCAGGTTTTCATCTGTAAAATGGGATATAGCATTTCGTTCCCAGGGTTACTGTGAGAATTGAGAAAATCAGGTATGAAAACACAGCACTTTCTGTCCTTTTTTATTTTTATTTGCTGTACTCAGTGGTTTGTGCTAACTAAGCAAGCACTTTACACTTGAACCTCACCCCCAGTTACTGTTCTTTGTAGGGAGCTCAAGGGCACAGAGGCAGCCATGTCAGCATAGTGGGGTGACAGTCCCTGCAATAGGCGTCTTGGTTACTCAGTAGATGTATTAAAAAATAAAGAGTAAGAAAGAGACGTGGCATCACTGCCATTACTAACTAGGGGTGACAGATGGTCTCACTCTCATTCTTTTGGAGCCTCTGTAGGTTTCCTCTTGGGGTAAGTGAAAAACCTCAGCCTTGCAGTGGTTAGGTGACCCACCCAAGGTCACAGGTTATGTCCAGTAAGTCAGTGACATAGGGCAAGCTAGAAACAGGTCGATTCTACAGTAGGGTGTTTCTTGGAGGTGCCCTTGAGTGGGTTGGATCTTCTCTGGAGACCAACCTGCCAGGTCCCCAGGTCTTCAGGGTCTCATGAGCCCTTGGCTTTTGGCTGTAGCTCAGGCAGCCACCAGGTGAGTTTCCCTCCCCTCTGGCCTGCAGGAGAGGACAGTGCTCAACCTGATCCGTACTCAATCCAGGCTTCACCTGGCTGACTTCTCAGGATCCAGCTTCATAAGAAGGCCAAAAGGGGTTGCTTATCCTTTGTCCTGGCTGCACTAGACTTGTCCACCTCTCCCTGGGTCCTAACTCCCTGTCTCACTTCTGGTACCTTGGTGTCAGGTCATGAATGTGTGTATGTCACTGCAACTAACCTGCTGCCTTCTCTGGGATCAATGGGCAGCAGAACCAGAGCTCCCAAGCCCAGGGTCCTTTTTAGGTCACTGCACTGGAGCTCTTATCAATTCTCCCCCAGTGGGTGCTGGTGAAGAGCACAGACTTGGGTCAGGTGCTGCGTGGAACTTTTGAGCAAACTTGTTAGCATCTCCAAGCCTCAGTGTTCTTAAAATGAGAATAGCAGTCCCTAGCCTGTGGGGTTGTGAGGGTTAAATGACCTACAGTGTGTGAAGAGCTCAGAGCAATGCCTGGGACTGAGCAGGAGCTCGGGGAGTAGATGATGACAATGACCATGACAACATGATGACAATGGTGAAGAGTGATGAAGGTGATGCAAACTTCAATTGTCCTGAGCTCTAGGAACACATCCCTCTGTCCCTACTTTCCCCCTGCACTCCAAGGCACTTAACCAGTAGACCACATTCAAAACAAACTATCCAGTTTCATATTACACACACACACAAAGAACCTCCCAGTTACTACAGGAATATTAAATATTTGAAGAATATTCTTCCAGTTGTTTGTAAATGCTTTCCAAATTGTAGGTCCTGACGAATTAGCGAGTAATAAAATCAATTTAGTAGGTCATTTCCAGTACGGTTTTAATAAAATAGAAGAGAAAAATGATAATTAAATGGCAGGAAAAATGTTCAAGGGCCTGGTGAGTATTGAGATTCAATGCCCTGCTTTACCAGAGTCAGATGTTGGGTTGATTATAAATCCATTTCATGGCCAAAAAACACATGAAAAAATGCTCACCATCTCTAGCAATAAAGGAAATGCAAATTAAAACCATGCTAAGATTCCACCTCACCCCTGTTAGAATAGCCATCATTAGCAACACCACCAACAACAGGTGTTGGCGAGGATGCGGGGAAAAAGGAACCCTCTTACACTGTTGGTGGGAATGTAGACTAGTACAACCACTCTGGAAAAAAATTTGGAGGCTATTTAAAAAGCTAAACATCGATCTACCATTTGATCCAGCAATACCACTCTTGGGGATATACCCAAAAGACTGTGACACAGGTTACTCCAGAGGCACCTGCACACCCATGTTTATTGCAGCACTATTCACAATAGCCAAGTTATGGAAACAGCCAAGATGCCCCACCACTGATGAATGGATCAAGAAAATGTGGTATCTATACACAGTGGAATTTTATGCAGCCATGAAGAAGAATGAAATGTTATCATTCACTGGTAAATGGATGGAATTGGAGAACATCATTCTGAGTGAGGTTAGCCTGGCCCAAAAGACCAAAAATCGTATGTTCTCCCTCATATGTGGACATTAGATCAAGGGCAAACACAACAATGGGATTGGACTATGAGCACATGATAAAAGCGAGAGCACACAAGGGAGGGGTGAGGATAGGTAAAACACCTAAAAAATTAGCTAGCATTTGTTGCCCGTAACGCAGAGAAACTAAAGCAGATACCTTAAAAGCAACTGAGGCCAATAGGAAAAGGGGACCAGGAACTAGAGAAAAGGTTAGATCAAAAAGAATTAACCTAGAAGGTAACACCCATGCACAGGAAATCAATGTGAGTCAATGCCCTGTATAGCTATCCTTATCTCAACCAGCAAAGCCCCTTGTTCCTTCCTATTATTGCTTATACTCTCTCTACAACAAAATTAGAAATAAGGGCAAAATAGTTTCTGCTGGGTATTGGGGGGGTGGGGGGGAGAGGGAGGGGGCAGAGTGGGTGGTAAGGGAGGGGGTGGGGGCAGGGGGGAGAAATGAACCAAGCCTTGTATGCACATATGAATAATAAAAGAAAAAAAAAATAAATCCATTTCATATTGGGGGTGTTGTAAAAAAAAAGTGTAAGGAGCAACAGTTTAGAAACCGGAGTTTCTAACCTGTGGCTTCTGAGAGATCATCCCATTTCACCTGTGACTGACACCTGGCCTCTCTTCCTCCCCGCAGAGTCGGCCTTCCAAAGCCATCTGGACCTCACAGAGCTCATTGGAGTCCCACTGCCCTCGTCTGTGTCCTTTGTCACAGGCTATGGTGGTTTTCCAGCCTACAGCTTTGGGCCTGGTGCCAACGTGGGTCGCCCAGCCAGGACCCTCATCCCGCCCACCTTCTTCAGGGACTTTGCCGTCAGCGCTGCAGTGAAGCCCAGCAGCCCCCAGGGTGGCGTGCTCTTTGCCATTACTGATGCCTTCCAGAAGGTCATCTACCTTGGCCTGCGGCTCGCGGGTGTGGAGGATGGCCACCAGAAGGTCGTCTTCTACTACACAGAGCCCGGCTCCCACGTGTCCCATGAGGCTGCTGTCTTCTCAGTGCCAGTGATGACAAACAGGTGGAACCGCTTTGCTGTCATCGTCCAGGATGAGGAAGTGACACTTCTCATGGACTGTGAGGAGCACAGCCATGTCCTATTCCAGCGGTCCTCCCGGCCTTTGACTTTTGAGTCCAGTGCAGGGATCTTCATAGGCAATGCAGGTGCCACAGGACTGGAGAGATTCACAGTGAGTTCAAGTCCCCGCCTGGCAGATTAGGGAAGCCCGTGCACAAAGTATTATTTATTGTTTAATTCTTATGTCCTCATAAAGGTTTGCATGTTATGGGGGAAAAACCTCAGGCCTGGTGCCCTGACACCCAGGTCCAGTGCTCCATTTTCAACTTCACCTACTGATTTTAGTACTGGCTCCTCTGATCTTCCCTGTGTTTTCTTGTCTGAACAGGGAGATTTAAAAAACCCCAAAAACAAAAACACCTCCTTCCTGTGGATTTGTAGAGCCAAGTATGATACCTGAGAGCATTTTGTATGTTTTAACCCACAATTTTAAAAGAGTAAGGCTTGTTACTCTTACATAACTTTATCTTTGGATATGGGTAACAATTGCATTTAGACTAATCTAGAACACTGAATAAGAAGCAACTTCCTTGTCTCCTTTTGGACGATGTGCCCTGAAACAAACAAACAAAAAAATCAGAAAGCTGACATTACTACCAAAACGGGGTTTCAAGAATCAGCCATTCTAAGGAAAATCACTAAGTATACTAGGTATTCATGTACTTAGTGGTACCTCGTTAGTGAACAGGACACCGCTATGGGGTGGAGATTGGGTTTGTTTGTAGTACATTGGAAGGCACTGAGAATGTTGAGACATTACAGTCTGGAGGGGAGTTTTACACTTCACTTAGTGTCTCGTAGAGAATGAGCCGGGTGTAGGAGCTGGCCAGAGTGGGGGCAGGGATGATGCTGGCAGCTCTCCTTGGGATAAGACTGTCCAAAAGCCTTGAGGAAAGGCTAAGGAAAGACTTTTTCTGGGAGAGGGAGACATGCCTGCTACAGATACACCCTCGGGACAGTCAGGAGGCTGATGTGGCAGACCACATTCAAAGCACAGCAATCCCAAGAACCTTTCTTGCTAAGGGGTATTGTATTACCCTGGCCCATGGCAAGTCCCCCCAACTGCATGGGACAGGAGGTGGCTTGACTTCCTCATTGCCACCTCAGGCAGTGCAGTCTCACACCCATCCTTCACTCCTGTGTTACATAGACACATTTTCCATTGGTGGTCATGTTGTGGAATTGTAATCCATGGCTTCTGATTCCTCTGCTTTTCCCCAGGGCTCTATACAGCAGCTCACCATCTATTCCAACCCCAGGACCCCCGAGGAGCTTTGTGAAGCCCAGGAGTCATCGGTGAGCACCCTGCCCCACGGTGGTCCTGTAGCCCCTCAGTGGTCAGCCTGGGAGTGCTGGGGTGCCCAGTAACTCTTCATCCTCAATGTCATGGAGTCTAAAACGTCTCATCCTGGCCAGCACTGCTTCCAGTCCTATTTTTGACTTTTGGTTTTATTTCACTTTTTAAAGAGTTTCAGCCATCTCTCTGGCGTGGAGGTTGTGTGTCTTACAAGGTGTTAGGTTCTCCTGTGGCTGTGTCAGTCAGTGGCCTGGTTTCCAACCCTTCTTGCCAAGAAGGGTGTCAAGATTCTAAAATCAGAGTTAAAATGCTAAGATATTCTGGGTGTCAATTCCTATAAAAACTAACCTAAATTTAGGTTGGTTTTATGCTTGGCAAGCAAATCACTTCCTAAGTTGGGGTCGGTGGGGGTAGGGAGAAAAGATGGCGCCCTCCCTCCCTCCTGCCTTCCCTCTCTCAGGATTCACTGAGCTGCTGGTAGAAGACAGCCCTGGGTAGAGGCTGGATATAAAAGGGATACACTGGAAATTTTCCCCTCTTCTAGCTGCTCGTACTCACAGACCCAATGTAGTAACTGAGTTGAGTATGTTGAAACTCAAGGGAGATGCTAGGTCCCAGCTCAGAAGGTTGGGAAGCAGAAAGGAAGGAGGGGAAGCTGGATGGGAGTCGGGAGAAGGCGCTGTCTGCAGGGCCTTCCAGGCAGACAGGAGCATGGTGCCAAGGCAAGCAGAGGCTGGCGTTTCCCAAGGACATGTTGCTCTTGCTCTTGGGTGATGTCAATGCCTAAACAAATCATGAGTTAATTTCATCAATTAAGTGTAAAAACCAAGCTGTGGATTGAGTCGTAAAACCCCTCAGAGGTGGGATCTAGGGGTTTGGCCTTGTACCAATGTCTGTGGTCTTTGAGCCCTGGACATTCACGGGAAACTGGGGAGAGGAAAACTGTATGTTGTCATTCATCCATCTCTGCACTGCCTAACGTTAATGTTGAAGAAGAAACAACTTAGAGTCACAGAGCAAGGGATCCATTAAAAAAAACAATCCCAGTACATAGGCTCCTTGGCGGCCTTGGAGGCTAATGGTGAGAAGGTAACACAGGAAGTCATACTTGGGAGGTAATGGTTCCAAAAGTGGGGTTCCATTGACCGCCTTAACCAGACTGGGAGTGAAGGGAAGTGAATAAAATGGAAGGTGATGTTACAGAGACTATAAAATGATTGATTTTGCTTGTTGGAACATAAAATGTGGAAGGAAACCAAAAGCATAGCCAGCTATGTGCTTTGTGTGCGTGCATGCGCGTATACACGGTTCCTCTGCAGGAGTCAGTTTTTTGGTCTCTGACCATCCCGGGTGTGTGCTCCTGTGTAACCTGCTCCCCTGCCCAGCATGTGGCATGTTTTATCTCATCACAGGCATCGGGAGAGGCCAGTGGGCTTCAGGAGACAGACACAGTTGCTGAGATCTTAGAGGCTGTCACTTACACTCAAGCCCCGGTAAGTACGGGCACTGCCCCCTGTGGATGGGTTCCCTGTTTGGTCTAGTGCCCCAGGTCTGTTTTCAGATCTGTAAGGTTAAGTGTCAGGATGACACTGGCCAATGGGCATTTTGCAAACTGCCCAAGCGAGCCAGCCTACCAGTTGCTCAGACTACCCTGTGCATATGGCCTTGAGAGGCCCGTCCAAAGACAGATGTTGTTCTCTGCTGCTTCCCAACTCTGTGGGCTTGGAGAACTTACTCAGCCCCTGTCAACTTCAGCTTCTCTTCCACAGAATGGTGACAATAATAGTGCTATCCTACAGAGGCGAGTCTCAGCCTCATGCCTGGCACAAGGGACATAGCCCTGAATAATGCCCATAGATACCTGGAAACCTTGGCTGCCAAGTTCTCCTGGCCCCATGGGAAAGACAGCCCTCCTCCTGGTGCTTGGGCTTCCTTCCTCCTGGATGTGTGCCCTGTGACTGAAAAGAGGAAGTGGGCTCAAAAGCCTTGAGCCAAGGGCAGCACAGTGAGGAGCCCAGATTTAATGAGAACAGCAAGGAGTCACTGAGCAGAGAAACTCCAGTAATTTCCTGGGCTTGTTTGGGCCACTCTGCCAACTCAGCTCTGCTGAGATGGAAGTTAGGCAGCAGCTATGCATCACAGACCTTGGGCAACAGTGATGTGGGTATGGCAGGAAAGGACCACAGTGTGCAGTGCTCGAAGGACATAATGGTCACCTCTTCCTATATGAAGTGTACAGAAAACTGACCTTAGTAAAGATGGGTGGACCAAGGCCTTGATGGAGGAAGAGACTGGCCTAGCAGTGCCTGGGTGGGCTGGGCTAGGTGAGAGCACAGGTCTCCTGGTGCCCTCCCCTGGATTCATAGCCTGGGTGGGGTTGTGGAAGAGCATCCCCAGGGCTGCAAGTCAACTCTTGGCTGGGATGGGGGCAGTCAAAGGTCCAAGGGACCCACCCACCGTGAATGGGGGTGGTAGCTGCTCTGGGCAGTGTTGGAATCCTGTGTGCCCATCAGCAATGGGTCACCCACCAGCATGCCATGGGCACAGGGTAGCAGGTGACAGAGTGGTGGTCCTTTAGGACTTTGAGCTTGATGCATTCCTCCAGGGTACCAGTCCATAACTTGGGAGGCCAATAACTCATAGTGGTCCCAGAGAGGGACAGGAAAAGTGAGCAGGGTTTGAGAGGGTGAGATGGTCATGGGTTAGGAGTGGGACAGGGGACAGAGAAGCTCAGGATAGGGGTAGAGAAACAGAAGGGGAAGGAAGAGGACTGGCATTTTTTCATGCCCGGTGGAGATGTGGCATTTTGGTCTATGTGACGTCATTTCTTCCTTGCAACCGCCCTGCAAGGGAGGTGGCGTGAACACCATTGAGCAGATGTGGAAATGGATGCCAAGGAAGGATAGGTGACTCTGCCAGGGTTGTGTGGTGGCAGTCAGGACTGAAGCCCAGCCGGGCTGGCTCCCCAGCCTGGCCCCACTCCATGGACAATGGCACTGTAGATGCCTGAGCAGGAGTGGAGTAGTCAGCCAGGAGGGGGTGTGAGGATCTGGAGAAGTGAAAAAGAAAAGATGATGGTGCATTTGGGGGACACAGTGGCTTCTGGGACAGCCCAGCACTTCTCCAGATTCCCCAGTCCACTTTTCTCAGTGGTTTAAAGGCAGCTGATGCAGATCAGAGGCCCACCAAGTATGGGTCCCAGCTTGGCTATTTAGTAGCTGTGGTCTTTAGCAAGTGACTTAACCTGCCATATCTCAGCTTCCCCGCTGCTACACTGTAGTGCACCTGCTCCATGGAGTTAGCATGCAGGTTAGATGACCTGCCTCCTGTGAGACACTCAGACAGTGTAATGGTACACTTCAGCTCTGGGTAGACTTTTGTGGTGGTTCCTACTGAGATATTGCTCCTACTGAGAATCTGAGGGGATTTAGGGAGGTAAGGCATTAGTCTGTCCAGCTCAGGACTGGACTCAGTGCAGCACAGTGTAGATACCTCATTCCTCTTGGGGCTTTCTCTGCCCTCTGCTTCCTGGCTGCTTGATGGTTGGGACTGACAAGCATGCCCAATCTCTGTGGCTGCCCTCAGTCATGAAGAAGATTTCCTCTGGGCCAGGGCCAGGGCCCTGGGCCTGGCAGTCCCAGAGCTGCTGTCCTGACACTCATGTGCCTGTTTTGATCCTCTGTGTCCTTCCATGTGTGCCCCTCCCCCATGCGTGGCTCATGCTCCCTCAAGGGCTGCACCTCCTTTAGTCTCAATGGCAGGGAAGTGTTCTGGAATCTGTTCAGTAGACTAGGGCACAGGAGCACAGAGCAATCATGGCCTCATAAGGCTGCCTTAGCCTGAGGGTGGCAGAACCAGGTCTTGGGTTCTGGGCCCACTGTGCTCTCAGTCACACCACCCAGAGCTGGGGACTTCCCTTTTTGTATATTGCCTTCTGGAAGGCCTTGATGGCTCTTTTAGGTAGGATAGGGAATTTCCTTCTTCATCTCAGACAGTCCCCTCCCTTCTCTGTCTGGCTTCTTTCTTGGAATAAGTCTTGTTTCCCTGTCCTCTGCCTTTCCAGCCTGCATCCCTCCAGGACATAACCTGCGAACTGAACCAGGGATTGTCTGCATAGTCAGAGCTGTAAAACGTCAGCCCTACACCTGCCTAGCAAGTGTGAGGCCCTGAGTTCAAACCCCAGTACTGCCAAAAAGAAAAAAAAAAAGTCAGCCCTATCTCTCCCTCCTCCCCATTTAGTGTTGTGGACTCTGCTACCCCACTCCTTTCTCTTTTGCAGAATCAATTTCTGCTAACACATCTTCGCATTTCTGGAAAGTTCTATTTTGTGCTGAGTTAGAATTAACATCCCTCTGGATTTCAGCCACGGCTGTGCATCAAAGTCTAAGTGTATGGGAGGATGAGAGGAGTCTTTAATGAGATACTTGCTGGTTCTGCTTACCTGGACATCCAGTAGCTGGGAAGTGAGCTCTGTAGGTGATTCTGACCCACAGCCAGGACTTTTCTTCCAGCCACACCCAAGTGCTCACAGTTCCCCAGACACCATCTGCCATCCCTGCCTTAGTTATGAAATTGTTTGCTGGATACCCTCCCACTCCTTCCTTCCTGGCAAATGCCTTCCTACCTTGCAGGATCCTGTCCACATCCTCTCCACAGAGGCCATTCTAGCCAAGTTGTCCTCCCTGACTTGGCTTATGCTTTTGCTGCCCCATGTGTGCTGTGAAATCCCAGCTAGTTGTGTCTGAGTCTATGCCTCCTCCTTGGTCTGGCAGTTTCAAGGTAGGCACACCGTCTCCTTCATTCCTTTCTCTATCCTCAGGGCTCAGCTGAGGACCTGAGACATGGTAGGGTTGAAGAAAGTATGTGTGGAATTAGTATGTCTGATCATGTGAGTGTGCGTGTAGGCTCAGAAAATCACATACTTTTTATAACTTGAAAACTTTCTAAAGTCTGAAGACTGGACATTCCTATTTTGTCATACACCACACTAGTTCTCCACCTACATTATCCATCGCCAATAAACAGCCCTGTGTGTGAGGCAGAACACTTCACTTTCCCTGCAGAGGGTCAACTGCCCAGAGCCACATTCTGCCCTGGAACAGCTGTGGCTACCTGGCTGGGATTTGCCAAAAGAAGGTTCTGGTAGAAGGTCTTGAGCCAGTGACTTCATAGAGACCCAGGCTTAGCTATCTTGAGTGATGGCTCCTCCTTGTCCTGTGTCCCACATTTGCACTTGCCCACTTCCTTTCCCTAAGTCCAATGGCTTGCCTCCAAGCCACCAGTGGCCTTGCTCAAGCTTAATGATGGGCTTCCATGGGCTTTCTTGGAACTATCAGGGAACCATGGCAAATGGGCTTCTGCCTGGACCCCTCTCAGGGGGAGGAGAGGAACATCCTCACTAATCCAGCTACATCTAGTATTAGGGCAGGAGTCCCAACAGACTAGGCTCAGCCACCTGTCCCAATATGGCAATTGAGGAGATGAGTAGTGGTGAAGAGCAGAGAAAGATTTGTTCAACTTGGTCGTGTTGGAAAGAACAAAGGGATTCTGTGACCCCTGAGTTCATCTTCTGGGTACTAGCATAGCTTTAGGTTTAAACAGAGGAAGAATTGGGGCTGGGAGTGAGAGCTATTAAAATTAAGCCGGTCTTGGTTAAGGTGTGGTCTGATTGATCATTATCTCAATTCTGGCTCTTAAAGGTAATTCAAAGAAGTCCTTCTTGCTTGAGGGGACAATCTAGTTCCCATGAGATGATTGCTTTTATTTGGGAATGATCTCATTGTGGGGTGATCTGTCTGTGAGGCTCTGCTGTTCCTGGAATCCATGGTGTCTACAGGTTTAGGACACACTTTTGGGCACTTTTAGGAGACTTGGAACAGGACATTGTAAAAGCTGACAGTACTTCTATCTTTGTGCTTTCAGCTTTGAAGGAGGATGAGACAGGCTAAGTATCACTGGTTTTTAGACGTATGTATGTGCCTTGAATGATTTACATATCTTCACTCTGAGTTAAGTCTGCTTTTAGTCCCTGGTGGGCCCAAGTGTGGAGTGCTTTTTATCAGAAGCAGTTCTAAGAACTTGTTATAGACCAGCATCTAGCCAGGAGACACGGACATCCTAGCTGGCCTTTCCTACTTTTTCTGGGGGTGCCTATCTGTTCCCATCCCCTCTAGTTCCTCCTTATGGGCTTCTTCAGTGCACCCCTTGGCCTCCTGGCTTAGATCTCAGCTCCTCTAATCCACACTGTCACTGCCACTAAGTAGACTCTCCAAAGTTCCCAGTGGACTTTGTTCACTTCCTGGCCTAAGACCCCAAGGCACTGGGGACTCAAGGTCATGGCACGGTGGACTGGCCCTCACTTGCCCTGTTTCCCCAGCCACTGTCCTGATGCATTCCTCCTCCAGCCCCAGTTCTTACCAAACTCAGGTGGTCCAGCCCTGACCTCATCATCCCTCTGTCCATCCCTGTTTTTGGCCACTCCATTCACCCTTGAAGGCCTGGCTCCTTGTAGCCTGCTCTCCCACCCCACCCTTGAGGTGTTACAGTGCAATAAAACCCACAGTGATTTTTCTAGGTTCTGGTGTTCACAGCGATAACTTTATGGGTTTTTTCCCCTCTTCGTTTGCACTTTTTTCACTAATGATTATGCAATATTTGGGCACTAAAAATCAAGGTGATGAACATTTCCATGCATTTGTTACTTTTGAATATTTATAACTGTTCTACGGTACAGAGGAAGAGCCAAGGCTCAGTGGGGTTATACAATTTGCTCACCATAACTTAGCCACTAAGTAGAGCGCTGGGATTTGACCCAAGTCTGGCTGCAAGAACCAAACCATTAAATCCTAAATTCCAGAGCTCCTAAGAATCTTCCCTATTCTGATTCACTGTTTGCATATTAGGTTCTGACATGGAGGAAAGAACCTTCTGGTGTTAGGATATAGAAATGAAGGCTGCAGTGTGAACTTAACCCTGGAATCTCAGTACCTGAACAAAACAAAGATTTGTTTCTTCGTATGACAAACCTTCCACTCAGCTCCCTGACCACTGCAACCTTGTGATTAGAAAGTGATGATGCTTTGTGAATGCTGACAAGCCCTGGGCCTCAGGAGCTGCTTCCAGGGCCTAGGAGTGATGTCTTGATGTGTTTGGGACCTGCTTGGATCAGGTTTTCTGCCTGGATCTCTAAACTGCTCTAAGTCCAACTGTTGGGATTTCTGTAGGTTTGTTTTCCCCCAAGTGGTAAGATTCATTAAGACACTGGCTACCTTTGGAAAAGCTTTATGGCTTCTGGAGCGTTCCTAGGAAGGAAGCACTTGCATCTTTCATTTCCATAGCCTCTAGTGCACATCTGGTGTTGCATTTATATGGTGTTTACGAGCACATCCTGGCTCATTCATTTGTTCATTTATTCCCACATCTAGCAGATTTTTTTATTTATTTTGTGATACTGGGGTTTGAATTCAGGACCTTGCACTTGCTAGGCAGGCTCTGTACAACTTGACCCATGTTTCCAGCCCTTCTCGCTTTGGTTATTTTGGAGACAGGGTCTTGCTTTTTGCCCAGGCCGTACTGAAACATGATCTTTCTATTTTATGCATACCATATTTGTGATGACAGGCATGCAGCACCATGCCCAGCTATTGTTGAAATGGGGTCTCTTGAACTTTTTTATCCCTGCTGGCATGGAACCACAGTCCCTCCTGAGCTCAGCCTCCCAAAGTAGCTAGGATTACAGACAGGTGTAATCCACTAGTGCCTGGATCATGTAGCGGATTTTTAATGAGCATCTGCTCTGTGCTGGTCTGGGATTTAAGGATCACAGAAATGTAGTCCCTGTGATCAAGGACCTTAGATGAGAAGGGAGTTCCTGTAAACTGGGAGTTTCATTACCACTAGCACACAACTCTTGTAGGCTCAGGAAGTGTGGGCTTGGTGTTCTGGATTTAATCAGGATTTTGTGCATCAATTATTTTCTGTCATTTTTCCTCTGCTTTACTATTAAGTAAATTCTTTTGCGTCTCATTCTTCTCCCTTTAGCCCAAAGAACCAAAAGTTGAACCCATAAGCACACCTCCAACTTCATACTTTCCCTTTGAGGATACGGAGCTTTCCGGTGAGCCTGTGCCGGAAGGGACCCCAGAAACCAACTTGAGCATCATCCAACACAGCAGCCCTGAGCAAGGCAAGTCCTGACGCACTCACAGGCGGTGGCCTTTGGTGATTACCATGTGTCTAGCCTGGGCCATGCATGTAACATACAGAATTGATTTCACCTTTCTTCTCCCTCCAAGGAAGTAATGATAGTCATCCTCACCTTAGAGACAGAATGAGGATATCAAGTCACAGGGAGCTAAGACTACACAGCCCTTGCATAATATTGCTGGCCTTTGATCTTGGATACCTTAATCCCCAAACTCTACCCCTTCTGGGATTTCACAGAAATAACATACGTTATTGTAATAATCACAATTAAAATAATCCTTGCTGTTAATTGAATGCATACCGTGTTTCTTTTCCAACCCCAACAACATACCTCCTAGCTGATACAGCAGTCACTATTTTATCATTGTAAAGAGTGAGTGATGCACCCACAAGCACACAGCCCAGAGCTCTGGCTTAACTCTCCAATCCCCACTCATTCAGACCTCTGCCACCAACACTCTGACTCAGAGAATCAGGTCAGCTAACTGATAGCCAGAGAGGTGACTTCTCTGGTCACCAGCAGCTCAGTGACAACCCGGGGAGGAGAGCAAGCCTCCTGGCTCCCCACCCAAGATTCAGGGCCCTGCCTACTGGTCCTCTTCCTATGCAGAGGAGCATTGGCAAAGGCTCAGAGACCACACCCAAACCCCAAGCTGCAACTTGATGTTTACCCATGGCCTAAGACCACTCTCACCCAGGGGGTGGCCATTTCAGACCCTAGTTGTAGCCAAGGCCAGAACTCTGAGGTATAGGGAAAAGGTCATTCCTAGCAGCTCTGTTCTAAATAGTGAAGACAACCCAAAGTGCCCAGAGTGGTTGGGCAAACTATCATAGATATATGCATCCCTGACACTGGTGACATGGAAGATTTAATGACCCAGGGACATGCTCACTGAGTAGTCCACCAAGAAAGTTGATTTCAAAACTCTGTGTGCTGAAATTTTCCTTTATTCTTGTTGTGCAGACAGCCCAGATAGTGGGGAGAAAGGAGTCTGAACCCCCAGTACCATCCTGGCTAGGGAAGTCCCCCCCATATTTTTTCTCCACGCTTCCCTGACAACATCTACCCCCATCTTATCCTCAGAAGGTCAAGACTTAGAGGGCTTAGGGCCTGTGGCTACTTGTACAGCACTCCCTGGTAGTCCGAGCAGAGAAAACAAGAGGGCCGATTGATACTGGGTTCAAGTTCATGGGGATGCAGGGTGCTTTGGAGCACCGTCCCATGGTGTGTTTGTGAGCACCACATCTGTGGAAAGGGCCTGGCTTGAAGACAGGCCCACATGGCTTCAGAGCACCTTCCAGGGACCTTCTCCTCTGCAGAGGGTTCAAAATGTGTTACTGTGCTGATCAGAGCAGGACACCTGCTGTGAAGTGATAGCAAGGGAGCTGAAAATGTGGAATTCAGGCTCTGGCTCTGCTCACTTCAGCGAGGTGGTGGGATGGGTCCATGTAGGTAAGACCATGGGCAGGAGGAGAATTAAATAAAGGAGGGTGTGCTTGGGACATGCTTGGCCCAGGGGCCTGGCCAAAATGGACATGCATTCATTTTAGTTTAATTCCTTCTTCTTTGCTTTAGGATTCATGCCATTTGTTTTTTATATTGCAAAAAGAGATATGTACACATGATAACAATTCAATCAGTACACAACTGTATGAACAACAGTAACAATAAAAAAACAACAGCTTCCTCTTCTGCTTCCACCGTAATCATCTGGAAGAAACCAGTAGTAAGCACTGTGGCTTAGCCAGATATAGGGATAAACATACAGACATGTATGCATACATACATTTTATATGTTAGATAATTGTTACATGTCATGAATTGAATGTTACAGAATAACTAGACAGATACAACATATATACTTATATGCAGGTTTTTTCTGTTTTACAAATATAAAAACCATACTTTTGTGTCAGCAGCTGTACTCAATGCCTTTCTTGCATTAAATCATTAAAATAACCACAGGAGGTAGGAATTATGATCTCCCATTTGTGGATGAATTGAGGGATAGGCTAAGCAACTTGACACAGGTCACATTCCTGGGAAGTGGCAAAGCAGGATTCCACATGGGCAGGAAGTGCCGCAGCCTGTGATGTAAATCACCAGCCATGTTGTGACTGGGCTGTTCCTTCTGAATCCTGTGTCACATAGTATGGACATCCTTCTAAGTTAGTAAGTGAAGATACCTCATTCTTTTCCAAGACTGCAAAACACGGTTACTAATTCTAGCATGCCTTCTCCCTCTAGGGTCTGGTGAGATCCTGAATGACACACTGGAGGGGGTTCCTACTGAGGATGGCGACCCCAGTACTGACATTGGCTCAGCGGATGGAGCCTTCCCTGACAGCCCTGAAGAACAGGCGAGCGCATGATAAATTTCATTTGACAATTCAGTGGTGGAATTTTTTGCCTATCTCCCACTTGATGGCAACTTTTATTGGGCACCATTGAAAACCATAAGGGTTTTAGTTGAAGGTCGGCAACACTGACTTTGTTCTGGTGCAGAGGAGGCAAGAGTCCCCAGGCTCCAGGGACACTCCAGCCCCAGGCTGGCCTACTCCTGCCTGGTGACAATGCAGGTTCCTCACCCTGGTAACCACCTACTTCCGCTCCATTGAGAAAACTACAACCCCTTAGCCCATGGATCCCCCTTCAAGACAGAACCCCATTAACTGCAGGTGTATCTGTGCTGTTGCCTAGTAACTGGCCTTTTACACCTGCAAAGGCAGCTTCTGAAATGCTTGCTGCGGTCAGATGTAGAACAAAGGCAAATGCCAACTGCCAAAGAACCATTTCTTCTCCTGTCCTGGGATGAAAACTCAGGTAGTTCTCAGAGACCCAGTCACCCTGGTAACTGTCAGTTTTCACAGGTATTTTCTAAGTCCAGTCCAGTATAATATCAAAAATTCCATGAAAATACAAATTACAGTCTTTCTCATGTATATGTAGGCTGTTGTAGGTCAGGAATCTGCTGGGAAGGAAGCCTGGTTAGGGGTTCCTCTCTGTTGTCTTACTTCTTTCTCTTCCTTATGCCCCCATGACCTCCCCCTCCCCTACAGCAGCTGTTTTTTAACATCTGAAGGGACTGGCCCTCCTGGAGAAAAGGGCACAACTGCACATGGTGGGTCAAATGTGACCTGGCCTTCACTGTAGACAGTGCCTGATTGCTGGGACCTTTGCGGGGGCAGGAGGTTGCTTTAAGGGTTCCTTGGCGGCTCTCCTGAAGGAGTCCTAGTACCAAATTCCCACTACTGGCCTTTTAACTTTGCCTGGCTTCTGCACCCTGCTGGATTCCCTGAAGGTGGATGGAGCCAGTTCCCTTTAAAGGAGTTATATCTTATCTCTCCCCAGTAAACCAGCAGCAGACAGATCCCCTTCACCCTTTCCCGCTCCTCTCCCTCCCCTGGATATGAATAGCCCCTACTTTCACCTTTGGTCCTTCCCTAAGAGAGTTATAAGGCAATCCCTGTGTCTCCCAAATCCCAAGGAATACATAGCCAGCTCATCAAATGGTCTGCGGGGCCAGAGGGGGGGGACATGGCACACTGGAGATTCTCTACAAAGGAAATCTTCCTTTCTAGTCAACCCACTACACAATGAATCCTGTACCATTTCTGACAGTCTGGAGGCAGGGGACGGGCTTCAGCTGGTGGAACTGCTGCCATGCCCTGTCTCTTAGCAGGCCCTAGAGGTGGAAGCTACCTGATATTTGTGGAATTGTACTTGACCTTTGGGGCTTTAACTGACATTGAGTCAAAGACAGTCTCACTTGATATCCTGTGACATTGTCTTCCTTCTGTTTGGCAGGGGGGGGGGGGTCTAAGTCTGTAAGAACTCATTATGTTCTATGATAAAGGACTCTGGTGAGGCCCTGAGTTTGAACCCCAGTACCATCACCACCAAAGAAAAAAAAAAGGCTCTGAAGTCAGATAAGTCTTAGAAATGTTCCAGTCTGTCTTCCCTCTTTTTATAGGCTTTGAGAAGTTCTCAAGAAAGGAAATTTGTATAACTTTCATCAGCTTTGTGTATTTAGCATCTAAAGGAACTATTTATTTTTTGCAAAAACTTAAATTTTAAAATAAAAATTCCAAATCTTTGGAAAACAGAGAAAACCATGGCTTATTGACACCAGAAGCCAATGTTGCTCTGTTTCCATTTACCCCATTTGCTATGTAATCTTCGAAGAATCTAACTGTGTATTGCCCAGGGGAAACTGAGCCATGTGTAAAGAGGAAGCAGACCTTGAGGGCTGGAGAAGGCAAAGGAGGATGGCAGGGCTGTCAGCACATCTTTGAAACAACATCATGGGGAAAGACACGGTCCTTATATCTGGATAGACACATAGAGGCAACCATAAGAAGTTTTAGTGTCCAGACAGAACACACAGACACTGGAGTCAAACACGGGCCATAGACACCTGGACAGTCTCTCCTGTCCCTGGATTCTGTGACCTGGGACTGGTGCGGAGTTGGGGTGAAGTCATAGATGTGGACATACTTGAGATTAAGAAGCTACAGAAAGGCAGCATGCTGGAGAGTCTGGTTCTCTGTTCTCTCCAGCCCCAGGCCCATTGATCAGGGCCAGGAGCCTGGTGACATGGTCTCTTGTCATGTCCTCATTTTCAGGGGACAGCAGCAACAACAGCAGAGGAGAAGATGCCCTTTACTACTGCCCAAGCAGTGGAGATCAGCACTGTGCCCACTGGGAGAGTGACCCCAGCCATGCCCACCCAGAACTCCGGGGAAGGGACCACTCCAGTAAGTAGCTTGAATGCACACCCGCTTCACCTGCTTCTGAGGGCTGGAGGCTGTCCTGTTTGGGAGCAGGCACTGGCCAGAGTGCAGATGGGCAGCACTTTGAGGCCAAGTGTGTGCAGGCACGGAGTAGTTGGCTGAGGCGGGTGTTGCTTTTCAGCAGACATTAATAGCACAGCATGGTTGCAGGGACTGACAGTAAAAGGATAGGTCCTGTTCCTGGAGACATAGTGGTTAGAGCTTCAAGAGGAGATGCCTAGGATGCTCTGGGAGCACAGGAACAAGGCCCAAAGCCCAACTCTAGAGGTCAAGGAGGTGGAAGATGCATCTGAGAGTTGGAGTAGATTAGCCAAGCTGATGAAAGTAGACTGGTGTTCCAGGGAAGGGGGCCAGCAGGAGCAAAGGCCTGGAGGAAGTAAAGAAGTGCACTATACAGTGGGGTCGGCTGTGAGCCCAGGGTGGAGAGATTGGCCTCTTATGCTACAGAGGGCTTTGGTGGCCTTGCTAAGAGGCCCAAGAGGATCCAGTAGAAGTGGGGAGCCACGAAACAAAGAAGAGATTGTGGTTAGGTTGGAATTCTAGAAAGATCACCCTGACTTTTTTTTTTTTCCTGGCAGTACTAGGGTTTGAACTCAGGGCCTCACACTCGCTAGGCAGGTGCTCTACCACTTGAGCCACTCCACCAGCCTCACCTGACTTCTGAGTGGAGAAAGAATGGGGGAAGCCAGCCTGGAGGCAGGGGGAGGACTTGGAAGCTGCACTGAAGTCAACTGGCTGTAGAGTGTGGTTGACCATGGTGGATCCTGCCAAAGGTCCCAGTGACCAGAAGGCACTGAGCTAGGGAGAGCAGGAGGCAGGAGGTGGTCAAGTGGTCAATGAGTGCAGACAGCTCCTATAATGAGAAAGCTCTGGAGTCCAAGGTCCTGAATTTTTGTTCCCACACAGCCACTTAAACACCAGTGGAAGCTCCATGCTTGGTAGTGGTGGGCAGAGGCTGGAAGGGACAGCTGGTGAGCCCATGTCACTTGAGAGTGCCAGGGAGTTGGGTGAATGGCACAGGTGGAGTGCTGGGGTGGGTGTGGGAGTCCAGGTTGTGTACCAATGCCACTCTGAAGCCAGTGTGTGAGGGGAAGTCTTGGATATGCTTTGAAGGTGAGGAAGAGACAGGACACAGGTGTAAGAGGGGATCTGACCATCTGGCTCTTTCCAACTGCAGTGAAGTGGCTTGGGGTTGTGGTCCACTGGTATGCACTGTGGAGATGTCTTTTCTATGCAGGGTCCAGAGAATGAAGAAAGTTTAGCAATGACAGCCTCAGGCGAGGGTGAAGTGCCCATCAGCAGTGCTGGGGAAGAAGAGGCTGGCACTGTGCCCACTGAGGGGCCGACCCTGTCCATCTCCATGTCTACCCAGAGCCTTGTGGAAGAGGCTGCTCTGGTAAGGAGCATGAAGTGCTCAGAGTGTGGGTCTTACAGTCAGCAAATCCAGAGGAAGGTTGGCCTCCCTGTCCTGGCAAGGGTCTCTGACAAATGCTGGCTCAGGGGTGGAGCTTGCCATGGTCTGGTAGGTGTGTGGCATGACCCCTGCAGGCCAGCCAGGTCCAGGCAATCAGAGATGGGGTTGTGTTCCAGGCTCTGTGCAACACACTTTGTCCCTACCAGCAGTAGCCAGAAGCCAGGTGATGAGTGGTGGCCTGTGTGTGAGGGAAGAGGTGATGGAGTGGCAGGGAGTGGGGCTCAGCAAGGTGGAGAGCAGAGTCAAACCTTCTCAGTCACATCTGCCTGCAGTGCAGAGACACTACCCAGCTCCTGAAGGCTGGACACAAGCACTCCAGGGCCCTGGGCCATTGTGTCCCTCCCGTGCCCCTGTAATGGGTCTTCACTTGTCCTTAGCCCAGGCAATTGCTGGGACACCTCCCTGGTCTCTTCAGGACACCTCTCTAGGTGTCATCCCTCAGCTTGGAAACTTCCCGCCATCCTGACCTGCAGACTCAGCTTCTCCGGGAAGTCAAGCAAGATCTGACTGGTCAGACCTTGGACCCCTCTCTCCTGAGGCAGGCACTCCAGCCTCCCACCCAACCTTATTTCAGTTCTGGGCAGGCCTCTTCTCCTCGTGCCTCAAAGTCTTACAGTGTCCTCCTCCCCATGGAGAACTTCTCTCTGCCCTCTCCTCCCCGTCTGCCCTATCCTTCATAGCAAGCTCCAACTCCACTGGCTCAGGAAGGCACCGTCCAGGCCGTCCTCAGAAGGCTTTGTCATAATCATAATTGAGAATAAACATGGTCACTAGTCTGTGTCTGGCTCCTAGCAGAGAGTAAACTCAGTGAGGGTGGGGCTTACAGACCCCTGGCTCATAGGTGCGCTTCCCTCCTGACAAGTAGCCGGAACTGAATGAATTTGCTGAGTGAATATGTGGAGGCGTGGTCAAGCCTTCATAAATCAGCAGCCCTGCCTTTGAGCTCCTCCACGTGCGTGCTGTCTGGCCTGTGTCTCCTTGGCAGGCAGCCTTCCTGCTCTAGTGTAACATCCCCAAGGGAAATGACAGTGGGAGGACAGGCATGAGGACAGGCCAGAGCTCTTCAGGCACCTGGTAGTTACATGGATGATTTCAGAGAACAGAGTGGGCTTTTGGTTTTGTTTCTTGCTTTGTTTTCACTTGTTTTGAGATAGGGTCTCAACTATATAGTGTAAGCTGGCCTTGAACTCATGATCCTCTTGCCTCAGCCTCCTAAGTGTTAGGGTGACAAGCTTAAACACATACCTAGCTCTCCCTTTTCTTCTTTAAAGACAAAGCACTTATTAAAGGGGGAGAAACCAGGGAGCAGGTCCCAGTTTCACCAAGTCTTAGCTTAATAGAAACTAGAACTGGCCTATCAGAACTGTCTGAAAGTAGAATGGTCACCTGTAGAGGTGGCAAGCTCTCATTACTGGAGGTATACAAGCTAAGACCAGGTACACCCCAGGCAGAGGTGTGCTAGTGGGACTCGGGGGTGAACTGGGGAGGTGCATTCTGACCCTGGGCCCCAGGGTGTATGGATTAAGGTACAGCCTTCCCTCTGTGAGCAAAGGGAAGGGAGTGATGGAACTGCCCACTGACTGAGAGCATATTCCACCCTGCAGCTACAAGTGCACACCCACGGAAGCCAGGCGTGCATCACGTGGTGTGATCCTTCATGCCTATTTTGTTCCAGGGTCCAAGCAGTGATGGTTTCACCACAGCTGCAGCTATGTCAGAAGTGCCCCTTAACACTTTTGAGGAAGAGGAAGCCAGTGGAGCCCCCACTGATGGCCTGGTTGCCTTCACACCAACCGCGGCCTTTGAGCAAGCAGTCACTTCTGTAAGTGTCAACTGGCATCCTTCTTTGCTCACGGGGAGAGGTCAGCATCCTGGGACACACATTCTGCCTGGAGGTGTCTGGAGGGACATTGACTGGATAGGGAAGAGATGCAGTTACAGAAGGGATCGCGCGTTGAGTGTTATCCCAACCTACTACTTATTAGCTGTGTCCAAGAGGAACTTTCTCAGAAGTGAGTGACCCAAAGCTGGGAGAGGTGACTGGGAGTTAAGCTGTTAGAGGAGATACAGGAATGGCAAACCATATGTTGGGAAATGTTCTGGGGGTGATGGCCGTTATATTTAAGAAAGTGTTCTGACACCAGGCTGGCAACCCCCATGCCTCATGGGTAAGGTGATATGACTCTTTGTGTTGGTCTCCTTTTCAGGCACCTATTGATGAAGTCTTGGCAGCAGCCACAACAGAGGAAGCTGGGGGAGAGGGGTCTGGTGGCACACCCCCTGTGGAGCCACTGCTCCCCACAGCCATGGTGGCTCCTGAGGGACGGGTCAGTGTGGTAAGTGGTCTAGAAGTGTACCGGTTTGACTGAAAGATCTTACAGAGGAGAGAAGGCTTCTCAGAGGTGGGTTGTCATTTTGGTTCACAAATGTGGGCATTTACAGCCTTCACCTTGGGACTCGAGGAGACTACAATTGGGGGAAGAAAAAGCAAGAAGCAAAAAATCAGGGAGCCTAGCTTCAGGTCCCAAGCTGCCCTTTTTTGACTGAAATGAGAGCCTCCTTACAAGCTGCACTGTTGGAGGCAATGCTGACCTTGAGATTTAGAGGGGACTGTGTAGAAGATGGACTGCCTATAGGGACCTTCAAAACCCTGTAATATGAGTTTCAAGGATTCTGGACTGCTACTCTGTGACCTTGAGCAAACTGGTTTCTCTGGGCCTGCTTCCCATCTGAGGAATGGGCATCTGTGGGATGTTGCAACCCTCTGTGCACACACATAAGGGTGTCACCACTTAAGGGCTGTCACTTTGTCTTTTAGAAGAAGGAAACCCAGAGTTGGGCTTCTGAAGCAGGGAATGAAACTGTTCTTCAGAGGTGGATGTAGTCATAGAGGAAAGCCTACTGTGGGTGACCAGCTCAACGATGTCAGTCCCCCCAGCAACCCGTGGGTGTAAAAACTTTGAAAGCCAGGACTCAAGGTCCAGTCATGTGGCCCAATGGCCACAGAGCTTCACAACTGACCTGTAAGCAAAGGGGCTGCCAAGGCAGGTCAAGAGAGCACACTGGAAATCCTGAATGTTCCTTGCCTAAGGGCTTCCTCCAGAGGCCTGCATGTCACCATGCTGCTTCCTGTCTGTGCAATCAGAGTTGCCTTCCACTCAGTCTCTGAGCTACCCATTGCCTGGACCCTCAGTCCAGACAAGAGACAGAGAGGAATGTGATCCCCTGCCTGCCCCTGAGGAATTCAGTCCAGGGGAAGGAAGTAAGTTATCTGATCCTACCACACCACCAATCTCCAGGGTGAGGTAAACCATTTCCATCCTGATTGAGGGAAGTGAACGGGGAGAGGCAGAGGCCCTGCCTGCTGTAGCAGGCTCTGAGAGGCTGGGCTGAGGTTGCCCCAGGGCCTGCTGGCCTGTGCAGCTCCTGCATGTGAGCTTCCTACCCACATTCCTATCCATGAGAGTGCAGTGTGATGGAAAGACCCTCCATGAGGAGCAGGAGGTGGGGTACACTTCTAGGCATGCCCTCCACGTGGGCCCCGAGCCTCCTGCTATCACTGAGAAAGAGGAAGGAGAGCAAGTGCTCTGGTTTCTAACCATTAGTACACATTAGACACACCTGGGCAGCTGAACGCTCCACAGAGCCTGCGTCCAATGGTCCTAGTGAGCGAGACATAGGGCCCAGGCTCCCAAGGGTTCCTTACTGGATGCCAGCACTGGGAGCTGCCAGCTGGCTGTGATGCTGTGGCCCCGAGGCACACTGTGTGACTTCCTTCTCCTCACCCATGGGGGTGAAAAACTAAGGATGCTATAGCAGGTGCAGGCAGAGCCTATCCTCTTTGAAAAGAACTTTTAGTATTAAAAATCTAAGAAATTCACCAAGGGGCTTAGAGTGGTACAGTTACTTCCACTGTGTACCCATCACTCAGTGTGAACAATCACCAACCTTTTGCCAGTCTTGCCCTCTCTGTGCACCAACCTACCACCACCTTTGTGGAGGGAGGGAAGAGAAGCCTGGAGTATTTTTTTACATCACATCAGTTAACTTGTAACTAATTAAATGTGTGTAGCTGTTAGACCTGAACTGGTTTTTTTGTTTGTATGGCGGTTTGTTTTGTTATAGCCACATTCTCATTACCCACCTAACAAAAGTACCGTTTCCTTCATATTATCTAGTATCCTGGTCGTTTTTTTACAGGTGCATTTTCCAGTTAGTCGTTTTTTTACAGATGCATTTTCCAGTTAGTTTTTTTTTTTTTATTCTGAATCTACACATCACACATGGTTTATGTGTCTCTTGGTTGTTTTGTAATCTGATTGCTACCTTTTTTCTTTTTTCCTTGCTTTGTTGAAGACACTGCAAAGTTGTCCATGTATCCTTGTGTTTTCTGGTTTGGGAAGTTGGCCTGCTGAGACCATAACAACCATAAAACTACATGCTAACAACCATAAATTAACCACCCTAAAAGTGCAACCAGAAACTTCTGTTGTGTGAATTCATCCTAACGGACATAATCCGATATGTAAAAAAGGCTTTGTTTCAAGGACGTTAATCTCAATAACGTCCATCACAGAGAAGAAATGGACATAATTGAATTAGTCCACAATAGGGGATTCATTGAATTGAAGTATATCAAAAAATGGAATTATGCAGCTGTTAACATTATTCTTATTACCATTTAATGATGGGAAAAATGCTTACTATATCATGTTAAGTGAAAGAAGCTGGTTCCAAACTTTAGCATATTGTGTGGTCATAACTATTTAAAATGTACACATGCCAGAACCCTGGAAGGAAACAGGAAAATGTTAGCAAACTGCTAAATGTTAGCAGTTATTGCCTCAAAGGGGTGGAGCTATGGGAGGTTGTTGGGTTCTAGTGTTTTTCCATCATGGGGCTTATTTTTTTTACACTGCTTTTCTTGTTGGTTTGTTTGTTTTCTTAGTGCTGGGGATGGAACCCAGGGTCTCATGCATACTAAGCAAATGCTCTATCACTAAGCTATACCCTAGCCCTATATATATATGTAATATATATAATATATATAATTTTATGATATAAATATATGCTATTATATATACGAGATATGTATATGATATAAATCTCTAAAAAGACTGGTGGAGGGGAATGAATGAATATGCAGAATAGCATTTAATGAAGAAGGGTGATCACACATTCCTGGGTTAGGTACCTGCTATGAGCAGAAATGGATGCCCCAATTCCTGAGCAGAGTTTAAAAGCCCAATGACAATCAAGAGAGCACCCACTCTAGAATATTTTTGAATCATTTTGAATCTCAGTCATCATGACAGTGTTGCTCAGTGGGCTAGAGGCAGCATCCCAGCTTGGCTCTGCCTTTCATCTATGACCAATGTCACCTCTGTTTACTCATGAATACAGTGGGGATCAGAATCATAGTACTACCTGTTGATTTGTGATACTATGATTGAGTTAATACATGGAAATTTTTACCTAGCACATACTCAATAAATTAGCTCCATAAAATTATTTTGCAGATAAGGCCCAGAAAGAGTTAAGAGTTTTGCTCAAAGTCACATAGTTCTCAGGAGTCAAGAAGGGGTGAGAGAGAGCCTTGGTCTCTGGACTTCCTGCCTTGGGTTGTTGCACTGACCATGGCTGCCAGCTTCAAACACAGCCAGAAGTTGATTAGCAAAGCCCACCATGATTGAAATGAAGTTGTTCCATTTCTGAGGGCTGACTGGGCATTAGAATCTTTTATATTACATTGCCTTAAGATGAACTAATATATTTTAAATACATTAAATCCTGCAGAACACTAACAAAAGTTGAGACTGATTGTCAGGTCTGGGTGACTCCAAATACCATGGTCTTCTGGTAGTCACCTAGCAAATAGGTACAGAGAGCCTATGATCTGCCAGGTTCAGGGGACACAGCAGTGACCATGGCCTCTCTCCTCATGGGCTCACCAACTCCATCTCAGTGCAGGACCCTGTTCGTGCCCAGGTCACTGACCAGGGACAGGAATGTTACCAGAAATCAGCAACTGCACATTCCAAAGACACAGTGACCAAGCTCTAACCAAGTCTTCTTGTTTCAGACTCAACAGGTACACGTGGGAATGAAAGGACAGGCTGAGCCCAAAGGAGAAAAGGTTGGTGCTCTGCCAGCTCTAGGTCAAGCATGCTGAGCATGTTACTTGGGGCTAACTTAGTTCTGATTGTGGAGATGATAGACCAGTGTGAGAGCTGAGTTTAAAAGAGATCGAATCTGGTGTCTGGGAGAATCACGATATATGCACAGGGAAGTTCTGGCTGTTCTCTTCCTACAAACTGGTAACCTTGACCTCCATGAGTTTCCTATTTGCTATGGAAGGATTCTTCCAATTCTGCCCCAGGTGAATCTTCCCAGGAAAGTGCTGAGTGAAAAAGAGCTTCTGCGTCCACAACCCCAGGTTTGCCTCTTAGCAGCTGGATGAGCTCTGTTGGTTCTTAACTGTGTCTTTACTTCACTTTCTTCGTCAGTCAATTGGAGGTGATGGAGTAGGAGTAGGAGTGAGGTGGTTTATGGAAATGATGCCTGATGTCAGTCACTGCAAAAAGATAATATTTTCCTCTTACTGAAGTGACTGCTGGTGACAAACAACTCCCAAGGGGATTGATATCTTCAATCCCCTTCTTCGAGGTGTCTCAATGACCCAGCCTGTGGTCCCTGGGGGTCCTGCTCAGGGAGCCTCATATGGCCATAGGTGAAAACTTGGCTGCCTCTGAGGGCCTCCCCATCTCCATGCTTGTCCCCTGCCCCTCCTCAGCTGCCTTTGGCAGTGGTCCCTAGGGAAGAGGACTCTCTAGCCCAGGGGCCTCAAGTGTCTGCCAGCCAAGGTGTGGGAAGGATGGCAGGGCCTGGGAGGGGTAGCATTCTCCTTTCTCTCTGGGTCTGGCTGCTTCAGTGAACGCAGAGGGAAGCAGGACTTTGAGGATGGCGGGCGGGCAGGGGATCTAAGAGGGGGATCTCACTGTGCTCATATTTGGGATCTCACTGTTGATGTTCCCACTTTCCCTTTAGTCACTTGGCCATTCTGTCCCCATAGTTATCAAGACAGCCATTTCCCTGAATGTCTTTTTTGACAGCCAGCACCTCCTGGGATAGCACTATCATTTTCTTTTCTGCTTCTCCTTTCCATATGCCTGCTTCTGTCATTCTAAAAATGTTTTCAGAACACTAGCCCTCTGCCAGGGACCTGGAGATGATTCGAGCACAGTGCCTGCCCTCTAGGGGCTCATGATCCTAGGGAGACAAGCCTGTGAGCAGTAAAGACATATGAGTTTACAGGAGCTGGTGGGAGGAGCTCTGTGGCAGGACAGGCCTCAGCGGAGTGTGGGGGGGGGGAGGCCATTCTGGTCCTGGACACCAGGGCTGTAATGGGCCCAGACCAGGTGTGGGGGAGTCCTGGGTGACAAGGGTGTGTGTGTGCAATGTGTGTCTACATGAGTCCGTGCTGCTCAGCAATCCCCACCATGTACTTCCCTCCTCCCACCAGTGTGGTGCAGGAACAAAGGACTCCTGAGCCCTGGGAGGGCCATCCCTGTAAAGGGTTTGCTCTGAAAGGACAAAGCTTTCATCACTCCTTTGTCATCCAAGATGAATGGTTTCTACGGGAAAGAAGGGGGCAACCAGAGGACCATCTCGTGGACCATTTGTTCTGAGATTCCCATCCAATGTCACACATGCAGTATTGAGGGGCAGCCTCAGGCTGGGATTCAACCCCCACAGTACCTTCCAGTCAGACCTCAGGGCATCTGTCTCAATTAGAACCAGGAAGGACTCAGCAACAGAATCCTTCTATGTCCCATTCGTATCAGGCACAGTGAGTGGCCCAGAGGTTCCTCCAACTCAGAGTGTCCCAAACTATACACCTCCCCCTGGGCTCCCCATCTCTGGAAATGTCACCCCCTCTACCTGGTCACCAGGAGAAAAACAAGGAAACTCCTCAAGGAGCCCCTCTGACCCCTCCTCATCCAGGCCATCCTTGAGTCCCCCTGAAGCACTGTGCAAGAGGGGGCAACCAGAGGACCATCTCGTGGACCATTTGTTCTGAGATTCCCATCCAATGTCACACATGCAGTATTGAGGGGCAGCCTCAGGCTGGGATTCAACCCCCACAGTACCTTCCAGTCAGACCTCAGGGCATCTGTCTCAATTAGAACCAGGAAGGACTCAGCAACAGAATCCTTCTATGTCCCATTCGTATCAGGCACAGTGAGTGGCCCAGAGGTTCCTCCAACTCAGAGTGTCCCAAACTATACACTCCCCCCTGGGCTCCCCATCTCTGGAAGTGTCACCCCCTCTACCTGGTCACCAGGAGAAAAACAAGGAAACTCCTCAAGGAGCCCCTCTGACCCCTCCTCATCCAGGCCATCCTTGAGTCCCCCTGAGCACTGTGCAGTGCTTCCTCCTCCCTTGGAAAAAGGTGACAGACTTGTAACTGTTCTCCTGTCTCCATCACCACCAACCACCATAGTGATCCTCCTGCATCTGGCTTTAACTCCAAACCCAACTCCTCCTTGGAGCCGGTGAGGGTGCCAATGACTGTCCATCCAGTGGTTGAAACTTTGCTTGGTTCTTGCTCTCAGGAATTTGGTACCAGGAAGGTGTTTGGAAAATTCCATTTGCTTTTTTGGAGGCATTTGGTAACATCAAGTGCCAGCTCTTATGCTAAACTCTGGACACACAGGGGGTCTCAGGACCCCCTGTCTTTGTGGTACCCCAGGGTAGAGGGGCTGACAGACACACCCACAACTAAGCTTCAAGTCAGGTGGTCTTAGCACCAAATTGAGACCTTAATAGAGGCTGGTGGGAACAGAAGAGGGAGAGATGATGTGCCTGAAAATGGAGCAGAAAGGGCTTCACAGAGGAGGTGATGGCAGAACTGGGCCAGGAGGGAAAAGCAAGGGTTTGAAAGGAGGCTGAGAACTGGCCACGTGTGAGCTGGACAGGAAGAAGAAAAGGCTAAAAGGAAAACTGGCAGCAGAAGTTACAGAATATGAGACACTTTCCGTGACCAGGCTGCCTGAGGCTGTTGAATCTGAGTTGCAGTGATTTCTTCTCTGCAGGTGGGAGCAGAGGCCGAGGGCTCTGGCCTGGACTGGGGACTAGACTTTGGCTCAGGCTTCAAGGACCTGGTGAGCCGTGAGGAGTTGTTAAGAGTGAGTATAAAGGGTGATGGCAATGCACACGTGAGAAATAGGGAAAGGGAAGGAAACCTAAAACTTGAATGTGATTGATGTCCCCACAGTAGAGGAGCAAATATAGTAATCTTAAACTGTCAGAGGCCACTGTGGGAAGGGGACTAGGAGGTAGTAAAGAGGTCTGGTAGAGATGAACCAATGTGGGTTGTACTACACAACTGCATGAAAGCAATGCTAGGAGTCTCTCTGTACAACTATCTTTATCCCAAACTAGCAAAAATGCTATGTCTTTCTTATTATCTCTTGTGTTTTTCTTCCACAAAATGGAAGAACAAGAGGGTGGAACAGATTCTGCCCTGAAGCTGGGGAGGACGAGGGTGGCCCAAACAATGTATATACACATGTGAGTAAATGTAAAAATGATAAAATAAAATTTAAAAAAAACTGAGAAAAAATTAGTCTAGAAAGAAATACAGTAATAATGTTTACGCAGAGAAATAGAAGGGCAAAAATGATCAAAGTACATTATATACGTGTGTAGAAATATCACAGTGAAGCCTCTTTATACAATTCATATCCAGGAATAAAAAGATATGTGTACTGTTAGACAAGTATCCTATTAAAGGCTTGAGGAGTTTTCAAAACAAAACAAAACAAAACAGAAGGGTGATGGTAGGTGGGGTGTGAGACTAAATTCAAAATGATATGGGAGGGAGGGGAGTGGGAGTGGGCAGTGGAGAAAACCAGTGTGGCCGTGTGGAGAAGAACTGGAGCTGAGCTCTTGTGGTTCTTCATTATAGTCTTCCCTTTGCTCTTGGGTATGTTTGAAACTTTGACTTTGATTAGTTTCATTTTGGTTTTAATGAGTTTGACCTTGAGTTTGCATCTTGAACCTCCTCCTCTCCTCTTCCTCCTTTTGTTGGCGGCCTGCTCAAGCTTGTTGTTCCACAGCAAGTTTGCCCTGACCTTCATCTCTACCAGCTGACTTTTGATCTCCCCATCTCACTCCTTATTCATTAGTGAGACCCTTGGCCTCTTCTCTGACTGCATATTTCCCACTCCTGGACCCTTCCTGAAACCCCTGCTCACTGCTTCTTCCCTCTCCTTGGCGCCTGTCTCTCGCTGGCTTCCTGCCCAAGGCCGGGCTCCACCAGTCCCTCTTGAAATTGTCCCCAGGAGAGCGCTTTCCTCCTTCAGCTGCGGCTGTTGCTCTGTCCCCTGGCCCTGGCCTCAATTCCAGCTCTTCTCCTGTGCCCCAGTGCCAAACCCCCAGCTTAGAAACTTCACTTAGCTGTCCCCTTGCCCATCCCTGTGACTAGGACCAGAAGGGCTCTGGGCTCAGTGATTGAGAGCAGCAGGAGCCCAGAGGGTCTTCCAGGGACCTTCCAGGTGGTGGGATTGGCCAACCCAGCAAGAGGCTAAAGAGTTGAGACCACTTCAGAAAAAGTTTCAACCTTAAGATCAAACACAGGGAGCTTTTGACTGATGTCTCAGTTAATCAGAAAGCTAAGCTGGAGCTCCTCTGGAAGTTCCAATTAATTGAATCTTTTTGCATCCACCATTTGGAAGAAAACATGGCGTAATGGGTTCAGAAAGCCCTAGATTCAAATCTCACCTCTTCTACTTATCAGCTGTGTGTGTGTGTGTGTGAGTCTTGAGTCACATTATCTCACTGAGCCTCAGTTTCCCCATCTGCTAGAAGGAACACTAATCCTTCCTCATGGAGTTGTTGTAAGTATACATTGACCTCCTTTCACCGTTCCTAATGCAAGGACTGTTTTTCAGGGTCCCCCAGGCCCTCCAGGCCCACCTGGCCCACCTGGCTCACCTGGGATTCCAGGAACTGATGTTTTCATGGGACCCCCTGGGTCTCCTGGAGAGGATGGAGCTTTTGGTGAACCTGGCCTCCCGGTGAGCAACTGAGGCCCTCTGCTGCTTTCTGTGGTCACAGGCTTCCTTTAGCCAAGAAGGGGCAGATGGGTCACAGAGCCAGCACTGTCAAGGCTGGGAAGGGAGTGGCTAGCCAGTGTTTGTAAGAAAAAAATCCCCCTCATCCAAGTCATTCCTAAGACTTCTGAGAAACAGAAACCAAGAACGTTAGTGTACACATTGCTTTCCTGCTTTGTCGTGGTCAGCGTAGGAAAGTGCAGATTCATGTGGTATCTTGCACCATTGGATCCCATGGAATGGGAAACCGTTGGAGACCATCTAGTCCAGTCCTGCTCCTGACACCTCCCTGCCACAGAAGAGGAAAGGATAGTTGGATGCTTCACAGCCAGCGGTGACCCAACTGGGACTAAGACTGGAGCTCCTGAATCCTTAGCCTCCTTCCTAGTAAGAGTTTTTGTGTGTGATTCTTAGCAGAGATGTTGTGGGCTGATTGTCACTGGTATTCCCCAGGGCCCTGAAGGACAGCCTGGACTTGATGGAGCTTCTGGCCAGCCCGGGATGAAAGGAGAGAAGGTACGGGGCCAGTGGGAGGGTTCCAACACTGGGAACCAGCAGGATCTAAACCTGATTTCGCCTCTTCTGTGAATGACTCTTTGCTATCCCTGCTGGTCACCTTTGCTGGTGTCCCCACTGTTGGACTCATGATACCCAAACTTGTGCTCAGCATCTTTCCTGTCTATTCCTGCATGTCGCAGCTTCAGTGACCGGTGCCGCCATTCACCTGGCAACCTGCACTCAGACATGGAGACTTCCACAGTGTCCCTTCCCTCCCCTGCCACTACTGGTCAGTTGCCAAGACTGACTTCCACACCTCCCAGCTCTCTTTCCACCCTGACCTGGCATCCATCTCTTTTTGCCCACCTCACACTCCTCATTGCTGTCCTAGCTCTCCACTGACAATCCATTGTCCAACCTATCCACCTCCCTGTACCACACCCTCATCAGTCACTGCCTTGTTCACTGAGAACAAACCAGTGACTTCCTGCAGGACTAAGCCCTAATGCTCTTCCCCAGCTGCACCAGCTGTCTCTGTAGCACATGGCCTGCTGCTCCGTCATGCAGCTCCAGGCAGGAGCTGGACTACTCAAGTGCTCAGGCATGCTCCTCCCTGCCAGCCTCCTGGCCTCTACACATGGTTTTCACCCTGTATGAAGGTCCTTTTCCTTTTCTCAACCTCCAGTACCCAGTGGCTTCCCCTTGTGCTAAGGGATGATGTTCCAAGACTCCCAGGGGATGCCTGAAACTGGACAGTACCAAGCCCTATACATAGTGTCTTTTCTTATATGTGAATACCTAAGACAAAGTTTAGTTTATAAATGTAGTGTACTAAGAGTTTAACGGCAATAACTGATGATCTAATACAAGAGTTATAATAATACATTATAACAAAATTGCCAGCCTCCCTACTCTTGTGCTTTGGGGCCATTATTAAATAAAATAAGGGTTGTTTGAACACACACACTGTGATACCACAATAATTAATCTGATAACCTGGCCAGCTACTAAATGACTAATGGGTGAGTGGTATATACAGCATGAGTGGTATACGCTAGACAGAGGAATGATTTGCCTCCTGGACAGGATAGGACTGGACAGTGCAAGATTTCATTATGCTCCTCAGAACAGTGTGCAACTTAAAACTTGTGGCTTGTTTCTTCTGGAATTTTCCATTTAATGTTTTCATATGCTTCATTTTTTTCATTTTTTGCAGTAATGGGGTTTTGAACTCAAGACTTCACACTTGCTAGGCAGGCACTCTACCTTTTAAGCCACTTCACCAGCCCAAAATGAGTGTAACTTTTTTTGGCAGCACTGAGATTCGAACTCAGGTCTTCACACTTGCAAGGCAGGCTCTCTTACCATCCCCTTCATTTAATGTTGTCATACTGTGATTAACTGGGTAACTGGAACTATAGATAGTGGATAAGGAGGGCTACTGAATATCCTCTGGGAAGCTCTTCCTGACTCTTTTTGTTTTGTTTTTAGATTTTGGTTTTTGGTGTTTTGAGACAGGGTCTCACTATGTAGCCCAGGCTGCTCTCAAACCTGTTATCCTTTTTCCTTAGCCTCCTCAGTGCTGGTATTACAGGTATGTGCTCCACACCCAACTTCTCCCTGACTCTTTATGATCAGAAAGCAACCCTCTTTCCTCCACTTTCTATTATCACAATAGTTATGCTGCTGAGAACCTTCTTAGCCAATGTCTCTGGAGGTGTCAGCGTACCTGTCTGTCCCCACCCTGACACTGCTGTCTCTGTGCCCTTAGAATCTAGCACAGGCCTCAGTGAACCTCTGACAAATGAATGAAACTCTTCAGACACCATTTTCATCTGCCACTCCCAGAGTCGGCCTGCCTTCAGATCTTCGTTCTATCAAAGGCCTGTCCTGCCTCCTTTCTGTAAGCCTATGCAGGTGCTCTGGGAGGAGGAGGGGACTTCCTGTCCCTATAGCCACCTCAGTCTGCTTGATGAGACAGCCGTGTCCAGCAGAGAGAGGGAAGTGATGTAAAGAAGGAAACCCGCACTTGTGGTGTGCTTGTGGTGGTGGTGGTGGGTCTCTCCCTGCTGGGATGGGAGGTGGGCCTCTGTACATGGAAAATGCTGACTGCCTAGACACAATGGTCACTGAACTGAGTTTCCAATTTCCATTAGCTCTTGAGTATGTTTAATTAAAACAGTAACCTGATTTTCATAGAAAGTACATTTCTCAAAAAAAAAAAAGAAAGAAAGAAAAAGAAAAGAAACAACTATGGAGCTTTAGAAAATCATTTTACACATGCCAACTGTTTCATAAGAAATTAATTCTGCAGGAAACACCACCAACCCACACTCATCTTGCCTGCTGTAACCAGCTCCCCCCACAAACTCCCCAGAGCCCTCCCCCACTGTCTCTTACTCAAAGATGCTCATGTTCACATCTGCACACACCAGCCCTGCAGGAGGCTCTGCAAAGCCCAGAATCAGGGTCAGGAGCAGCAGGCTTGCCCAGTGTGACTGTTGGAGATCGGTTTTGTTTGTTTGTTTCTCAAATTTGTTATGAATCCCAATTTGTAGTTCTGAGTGTACATGGTGCTTTCTGGTCAAGTAAAAACAGACTCTAGAAGGACTAGGAAAATTGCATTTGGGGAACAGGAAGGAAACTTGCACATGATTTTTACCTTTAAAAAAAATTAATAATAAGCCAAGGAGCACAGTCCAAACGTAAAATGACAAAAATGCACTGAGGCAATGAGCAACCTCAGGGGCGTTACAGGACCTGAGGTCTATTTATGCCCTTGACCCTTGACTCCCCCTTCAGCTGCACATCTCCAGTGACAAGGACCTCATTCCCTGCCCAGGCAGCACCTCCCACAGTTGGACAGAGCCACTTCTGGGAAGTTTTTCCTCATGCTGTGTTGAAATCAGTCACCTTCCTCATTAGCAGGGCATACAGACCAGCCTAGGCAATGACCTAAAGTGGGGTTCTCCCTCACAGAAGAAGGTTCAGTTTATTTAGCTGAAAAATTTAAAATATATACCTACAATCCTTATTGTCAAATTCAAGATTGTCATGAAAATGTGGATGGTCATTTAGAATGTATTAAGTGCATTATTCTATGCTGAGTTCAATGATAGAAGTATAATTTATTAATTCCTAATTAATTTAATTTGTCAATTTTTTAGTTAAGATGAGCAGCTAACTCTAAGATCTTCAGCTCAAGAAGGGATAGGTAGGCGTGGCTAGGTCTCTGCCACAGAATGCTTCTGGAAGGGATGCCAAGGAACTTGCTGGAACGTCATTCCTTTCTGCACTGTGGCTTCTGCCTTCAGATATCTGGATCGAGTGGGGGAATGACTTCTTCAGAATCTAGGGCATTCCTGCTAGTCTTTAGCCTCAGAAGGTACTGACAGGAAAGAGTCTGTACTCTGGAATTTTCCTTGATACCCAGAATTCCTAGTGAACATTGAATTGGCTCTGCGTCCTCTTACTGGGCCCGAAATGTAAAATTGTAAAATCAGCTTCTTTCTTTTCCATACGCTGTAAGAGAAATGCAGCTAAATCTTCACCACCTTCTCTTTCTAGAAGTAATCCCAAGTTGCCCTTGAACAGTTGTAGAAATCTTGCCCTCGGGAACCTGAGCAGCGAGCTGCTTTTCCTTAGAACTTGGGAATTGAAGCACTGCAATGTTTGCCTGGTTTCCTAGTTTACATCTTTGCTGGTCATCAGTTGTCTTTGGCACAATGTCTGCATGACAGGCCTCTATAAAACCAAGTAGACCACAGTCCATTGTAGCAGATGACAAGCTCGAGCACCATGAGCAAAACCAGCGACACCCACTAGGCATCTCAGATGCCACAGTAACAAAAATATCTGTGTGTCTGTCTGTTTCTTTGGTGTTACTGTGTGTTAAAGTCTAGTCATGTTCTTACAAATTCAGTTCACTATACTGAGCCAAAATTTCTAATGAATTCTAGTGAAGCTTTCTTGTCATCATGACAAAATACCTGAGAAAAGTCATTTAAGAGAAGAAGGATTTATTTTGGCTCATGGTTTCAATCCATCATGGCAGGAAGACATGGTGGAGCAAAGCAGCTGACATTGCGGCAGAGAGCATGTGCCTGTGCTAGTGGCCTTTCTCCCTTTTCCCCTTTTATTTCATCAACTTCCCAGCCTATGGGGATGGTGCTGCATACATTTTGGGCAGGTCTTCACCCTTACCTAATCCTCTCCGGAAATGTTCTCTTTCTTTATTCTCCTATACCACTTTATGGGAGAATTCTCTGAATTCTCTCTTCAGGTGTGTCTATTCTGTTATTCATCCCCTGTATAGAGTTCTTCAGTTCAACAATTACATATTTTTATTTCTGAGACCTTTAATTGGTTCTTTTTCATGACCTCTGTTCTTTTCTCATGACAGCTTGTTCTTGTTTCATGGCTATAACATCTTCCCTTTTATCGCTGAGAACATATATTGTATACTTGAAGTCCCAAGTGCATTGTTTTAATGCTGTTTCCTCAGGTACATATTCTGGTGTTGGTTTTGCTGTGTCTTTTCATACTGTTGCCTTTCCTCAGTTGGTGAGTCTTGCTTGTGTGTTTGCTGTTGAAATTAGAATCCATTTTAGTTTGTTTTCTGCCTGTTTGGGCAGACCATTGGGGAGTAGCGGTGGCTACTTCTGAGGCTGGTGAGTTTCTAGAAGAGGCTAGAAGAAGGAGAATGTACCATCAGACAAGGAGCCTGTATACTTTCCAGGGTTCCCTGGTCTCCTGGGACTCTGCCTTATCTCTTTGCTTTAATAACTAACTCTTATGTTCTTGTAGAATGACGGGAGGGTGGAGAGTAGGAGATGAGGGGAGCTGTCAGGGCTGTGTGGCTGTCCTGCTGCAGAATTTCAGCCTATCTCCCCGCCAGAGGCCCTGGGCCACCCCCAATCCTGCCTCCTCCAACACTTGGCAGCTTGGTTTCTCTCCGTGGCGGAGGCCTCTGTTGTCAGCTTCCCATCTGTTTCCCTTTGGTATTGCTAACTATTTCAGGTCCAAAGTGACTCCTTCTTATTTTTGAGCACAGATATTTTAGAACTATCCATTCTGTCATTCCTATGGGTTTGACATAAGAAAAGGACATCCCAGTCTTAGGTGGCTGGCACATTATGATCCTTGTCAGTGTCACAGCCTTTTGCGTGGCCATGCTACTGCTGGCTTGTCTCTTGCAGGTACATTTGTGATTCCCCATCTGGAGGGGGCCCGTCCTGCTGTCACCTGTAGGGCAGTGTCTCTTACAGCTGACCACTCCTAACTGTTGCCCCTGTCAGTCCTGCCCTCAGCTTAGAGCCCACAGTTGGCAAACTGAACTGTGAGTCCCTCCAGAGGTGGACATGTAACCTGCTCCAGTGCACCCTGCCTATTTTGTCCTCTAGGGGTCACTGTGGTCAGCTTTGGATCTTTAGATGTTTCCAGCAGTGAGTCAGTCATCATCCCCCATATCTCTAAAAGTAATGGGGACACATGTGAAGCTCTTGAAGCCCCTCGTCTTATTCAGACTTGTTTGTTGCTGTGAGAGAACAACCTGAAAGGACAAGTTTATTGGGGCTCACAGTTTCAGAGGTTTTAGTCCATGGTGGTTCGCTCCATTGTTTTTGGGCCTGTGGTGAGTCAGTACAGGCATGACAGAGTAAAGTCTCTTACCTCTTGGTAGTCAGAAAGCAGAGAAGGAGCACACCTGAGCTGGCTGGCTTTCTTCGTCCATCTTGGGTCCCTCTAGGCCCCCAGCTGATTGGATGCTGCTGCCTGCATTCAGAGCGGGTCCCACCTGCTTAACTAATCCTCTCTGGAGACGCCCTCACAGACACAGCCAGAAGTGTGCTTTGCTAATCTCCTTGCCATCTCTCAATCCAGTCAAGTTGATGACCAAGATTCACCATCACATTCCTTCCCTGTCATGGAGAGATGGGAAGGCCGTTACCCCAGGACACTGACAAGCCTCTGAGAGAATTCTGCAGTCTCCTTGCTTCATCTCCAACTGCTCTGGCTTACTGTGGAGGTAGAGGATGAGCTAATAGTTGAGAGAGGTTTCACAAGCTTTTAATATGATGTACCCAGTTGACTGACACCTACCATTACATGCTCAGCTTGGGAACACCAGCCAAACCCCAGGCAGAAAGAGTCCCATTTTTTTAAATCCTATTGCTTAAGTGTCCATAATTCTGTATTTTCTTCTGAATGTACATACTGAGCTATATGCTAATTGGTCCTTGTGTTTGTTTTTCAGGGAGCTAGAGGGCCTAATGGCTCCGTTGGTGAGAAGGTAAGTTAAAGCTGTTCTTTCCTCCTCCTCCCCTTTCCTTGAATTTGCCATCACTGGACCATAGGTTGGAATAATGAACACATAAATGTCACAGATCAGAGAGGTACATGTCTCAGGGGAATTGCAAGGAGAAGGCAGGACAGCTGGGGATGGCAGGGAGCAATGTACCCTTCCCTAAGGGCATTCAGATGAGGGCATCAGTTTATCTCCAAGTGCAATGTCAATTAGCAAGACAGCTATTTCTGTGCAATCAAGCAGCACTGATCAGAGAATTCCTCCCCCTCATTAAGAGTGATTTTCTGACTTAGGTGTGCAGGTTGCTCCTTCCATGAGTGAATCAGGACTGGTAATCAGTCTGTCATCGTTCTCACAGGGTGACCCTGGCAGCAGAGGCTTACCAGGCCCCCCAGGGAAAAATGGACAAGCTGGTACTCCTGGAGTCATGGGGCCTCCTGGACCTCCTGGACCCCTGGACCTCCAGGCCCTGGATGTCCAACAGAACTTGGATATAAGGTACTTTCCCCCTTTTCTGTAATTGAAGAGCACTGGAAAGACCAGCTCACTGCATGCTGGGCCAAGGCTGTTCCCTTGGAGCCCCCAGGACCTAACACCACACCTGGCCCAAGTAGGTGCTTAACAAGCAGACCTGAAATTCTTCTTCTTCTTCCTCCCCTAGGATATAGAGGGCTCAGGGAGTACCAGGCTGTTGAGCGAGCCCAGAATCTCCGGGCCAACTGCTTCAAGTGTAGGTTGACTTTTAAGACCTTCGTGGGGATTGTCCTATGGTTACACTAGAATGAGGTGACTGTGTGGCCCTCCTGGCTCTGAGCTTTCGATAATTCTCACTCTCTAATGCCTTCAGCCCTGCTGTGCAATGGGGACTGCAGACTATAAATTGCTCATTACGGCCTCTGAAGTGTATTGTGCACAACTGGGAAGTCTCTCTCCTTCTCCTCTCCCTCTCCCTCTCCCTCTCCCTCTCTCTTTCCCTCTCTGCTGCCCCATTCAACATTCGCACTTAGCCCCATTTCAAAACTGGGTGCTCCTGACAGTTGCCCCACCCTGCAGCATCCATTCCCAGGAAGTGCTATCTGTGTCTGCTGTGGTGCGTGCTCTTATGAGGACTGTCCCCCTCGCCCCCAGATCTCTTGATCTTTGTCACATGGGACCCAAAGCTGAGCACCCAGGAGGGAGTGATGCAGCCCCTGCTGTGACTGAACGCAGAGCCCAGGTGCAGGGGCCTCTGAGGCTGGGGTTAAAGGACACTTGGTGAAAAGAGCTCTCAGACTTCTTTTCTTCTGACTCGGGAAGAGAATTTGTTCCTGTTGCCTGGAACAAAATCATTGGAAGGAGTTAGGGGCAGATGGCAAGATGCCTTTAAAGACAGGCAGAGAAAAATGAACAGAAGACCAAAGGATGTCTACTTATCTGCTTGCTTGTTTTGCCAGGGCCTCAAAGGAGAAAAAGGAGACCGGGGACCCAAGGTAAGGCCTCAGATCTGAGGCAGCAGGTGGGAGGACTTCCTATTCTGGTTCTAGAAGCATTATCCAAGGTCAATGAATTTTGTTTTCTTACTACTATAACCAGGGCGAGAGGGGAATGGATGGAATCAGCACTGTGGGGCCCCCTGGGCCCAGAGGGCCACCTGGGCGCATTGAGGTCTTATCCAGTGTGAGTATCATCCAGGTTGGAGTGAGGCTGTGTGTTTTTGCCTTACTAAAGGGGTGAGGAGGTCGCCCACCACTTCAGGGATTCGGAGCTGGGCTCTGCTGATGCAGAACTATGCAGCCAGCATCTGGTGTTGGAGCCTCCACCTGCCTGCGTTCCTCATCTGTCTGTTCCTGATCTGATGCCACTGTTCTCCCACACAGTGCCTCCAGAACCTTCACTTCTGGCTGGCAGCATTGGGGGTCAACACCAAAAGCAGCCTAGGGAGTATGAGAGCTGTTGGGGTCTTGAAGGAATCTTGAATAATCAGTGCCCGTGCTCTCCAGCCAAGTTGTGAACAAGTTGAGAAATAAGACCAAAGATGAATGAAGAGGTCAGCCCAAGACCTCTTCACCTTTACTGTGGATGGAGGTTGTGTTAAAGGCCTTCCCTCACTGTTCCTGCTAACTAACTCTAGAGTTACACAGACTTGCTCACCAGCTATTGGGTGTGCTTCCTAGAGATAGGCAGATCGAAGCATGCCCACATATGCTTCCAACACTGCCATCAAGAGGGTCCCTCCACCTTCCCCATTGGGCAGAAAGGGGCTAAGAGCAGCTGAGGATTACACTTAGCAAGCCCCTTTCATGCAGGGAAACATCTCTGGATGGCTCTTTTGGACAACTGTTCGGCAGTCTGTTAAAATTTAAAATACCCACTCTCCAAAATTCCACATGGAGAGATCTCCACCCAGGTGTGGGGGGAGCATCCCCTTCTCCCCTGACCCCCATAGCCAGGAAAGGCAGGAACTTGATTTGGACATCGTCACTCAAATCCCCATCGTGCAGCAATGACCTGTCTTCTCTATTGGGCACCTTTTCTTCTCTGTGGCCCCACTGCCTGGCACATGAGCAGGTTGCATGAAACCTGGGGTGTCCTTGAATTCTCTATGTCTATCATCAACTCTCTGGCATGAGTACTTGTGGGCACAGACTCTGTATCAGGCCCCAGGCCAGACCCTGTGGGTATAAAGATTAAGGAAGACACAGGGATAGGAAGTCCCCCGTGCAGTCAGGAGGACTGCTGTGACAGAGTTGAAACCCACAGGCAAAGGAAGGGGAAACAAGGGAGGGAAAACAGCTTGAGATGTGAGAAATCAAGGAAGACTTTCTAGAGGAAGTATCTTTGAGCAGGGCCAGGAAAGCAGAGAAATGGCAGCAACACCCTGAAGTCAAGAAAGAGGATAAGACGTGGGCGTGCCCAGCACAGAACGCTTACTGGGAGTGGGTCTTGGACATGGGTGGGTGGAACAACATGGAAATCTGAAAGAAACTGGAATGCAGACTGGGATCAGGTCGCAGTCTGCTGAATATTAGGTCATCACACTGAAGAAAAATCATGGCGCTTCTGATAAATAACCTCTAGCTGGTAGACAAGAGAAAGACCAAAGTCCCAAGTAACTGGGAAAAGGATGACTAGAGTTAAAAGAAAAAAAAAAGAGTCTGATTTAAAAACAACCAGTATGGCAAGGGTGTGGGGGAATAGGTAACCTCGTCTGCTTCTGGTACAGTGTGAAGTGGGCAGCCCCTTTGCACAGCTCCTTGGCAGTCTGTCCAAACTAAAAATAGACACACTCCAAAATCCCACATGGAAAGATCGCTCCACAATATGGTGGAGTGAAAGAAGCAAACTAAAGAATAAAACATACAGCCTATGCCATTTATGTAAAATAATCACAGGAACACACACTGTATGCTTTCTGTGGGTGCATATACATATATATATGTGCATACACACATGCATACATGTGTTTATAATTTTAGAAGAGAAAAAGCATTTGTACATTGTGTCATTTTAAAGTTAATTAAAAGAGGAAAGTGCCAAGACAGCTCAGGGCTGTTTGATGGGAGTGAGCAGGATGGGTGCATTTGGCAGTGATTTGGGGGTGTGACCCACGTGTGCCGTGCTGGGTGAGTTCAGTTAAAGCCTCATTGCCATCCTTTGTCCTCATTGTCTGATTTCTCTCTTTTCAGTCTTTGATCAATATCACCCATGGATCCAAGAACTTCTCGGACATTCCTGAGCTCATGGGGCCTCCGGTTCGTAGCCGTAGCTGTGGTAGAGTGAGGGTCCTCCTCACAGGCCCTTGTTGAAGCAATGCTGGGTTGGTGTGGGATTCCGTTAGCTCCTGAACCATGGAACCAGAGCATATCAAAGTAGAAAGTTGCTATCATAATAATTTGATCATGCAGGGAGTGGTGGCCGGTGTAGCAGAAGCTTCCAGTCCTATGCATCAGAAATTTGTGTAATGGAAACAGAAACAAATTAATTGCTATCTGTGCAACACTGCGGGCCTACTTTTCTCTGCATTGTCTCATTTCACAGAACTGGAGGAGTCCAGAGGGAGCTGTCAATGTGCTAATAGGGACACTGGAGCATAAGGAGGGACTGTGACTTGCTCCAGTCTTCCTAGCTCCACTTTAGAGATGAGGAAATTAACACACAAGTCCATAGAATTGGCCCATGGCAACACAGGCCCTCAGAGGAAGAGAGCATCCTCCTCTTTCTGTGCCATGAAACTTCGTTGTATGTTCTAGGAGGAGCCAGGGAAAGGAGCACTTTGGCCTTAGAGCCTTGGGGTCCCAGCCCTATATCCACCACACAGCACTGCAAGCCCCTGGTTCTCTTCTCTGCTAGCACCTTGCCAGGCTTTGGGACAGCTTCTAGGAGGTGAAGGATGTGAAACTGCTTGGCACACTGTGGTACTCTGCAAGTCACTGTAGAACCAGAGGTTTATACCCCCACAGCTGTGCAATGTGGATGTGTGCGGGGAGCCACCCTCCCCTGCAGAGTCCAGTGAAGTTGGCCTGAATCCACAGCCATCATGTCCTGGGGAAAATCCAGACCTGGGAGGTCTTTCTGTCACCAGGGATCTCCTTCTGCAAAGCAGCATCTGTCTGTGAGGTTGTCTTGCTGTCTCTTCTGAATTGTATGCAACAGACTCCCTTTCCCTGCTTTCTACTAGAGTGAACAATCTGAAAGACTCCAGTAGTCAAACCTAAGGCAAACCACCTAACAGATGAAAACTCATTCACCAGGGTCTTTGTGTTTCCCAAACTACTGGGATCTCAACTCAGGGCTTTGCACCTGCTAGGTCACACCTCCAGCCCTTCTTTTCACTTTTGTTATTTTTCAAATAGGATCTTGCATTTATGCCCGGGCTGGCCTGGACCACAGTTCTTTTATCTGTGCTTCCCTTGTAGCTGGGATGACAGACACACACCACCACACTCATCTTTTTATTGATTGAGATGGGGGTCTCACGAACTTTCAGCTTGGGCTGGCCTCCAACCATAATTCTTCTGATCTTCACCTCAAGTAGCTAGGATTACAGCTACTTCAAATACCTTTAATAGCAGCAGAAATCTGAGTTTGACAGAAAGAGGGGCCCTGGCCCCCAGTGTAGTAAAGTCCAAACTTCCCACATGCCGGCTCCTTTATGGTGACTTGTTCTAGCTGGATGTAGTGGTACACATCTGTACTCCCAGTGGGGAGTCCAAGGCAGGAGGATTTCAAGTACAAGGTCATCCTGGACTCCGAAGCAAGATTCTGTTTCAAAACACAGAACAAAAACCAGGCTGGTCCTTTAAAATTCTCACTCCTACCAAGAGAAAAGAGCTAAGTCCCACCACCATGCACCTACTTCTTCCCCTAATCCCCAGCTTAGCCCTGAGCCCACTCCTCAGAGTTTACTTATCCAAGGATTTCAAACACCGAGTGACTTCATGGAGGAAGAAGCTGTGGTGAAGTTCAGAGTTTAGGCTTAGGGGAGCAGGTGGGGCTCTGGGTGCAGGTTTTGCCTCTATTATTAACTAGCCATGTGACTCTGTGAGGTCCCTTCCCTCCTGGGGCCTTGGCATCCTCTCTGCAAAATGAAGCCATGAGTCCCATGGTGTGGAAGCAGATGTGGGCCTTTGGCAGGTGCTGGTGAGGAGTGGCCTCTGAGACTCAGTGTTCCCACTGACTGGAAATGCTTTTTTTCATGTTGCAGGGCCGGATGGTTTGCCTGGGCTGCCAGGATTTCCAGTAAGTACCACAGTAGCCATCTTCCATCTGTGCCCTGGGGCTGTGCTCTCTCAGTGCGTCCTCCTAGAATGACACTTTGCTCTACCTCTGCATAACCAAGCTCTAGCACTGTCTTGCTCATTCAGTTTTCTTTCTGCATATTCCCACCTGGAAGTGTCCCCTTCTTTGAGTCTCATGGGATTTTTTTTCGCCACTCTAGTAATTGTTTTCTGCCTTTAATAACAAATATTTCTCTCTTTCTCTAAAAAGTATCTCTCTCTCAGTAACAAGTATCTCTCTATCTCTCTTTCTCATTAGCAAGCATCTCTCTCTGTCTCTCTGTCTCTCCATTGGTCTGTGAGCAGCTTGTGGAGGGTTAAGCCTTACTAATGTCACTGTACCAACCAAAGCCTGAGCCATCTTGCAATGAGTGACAGTGGATGAGTCAAGCACTTCAAGTAGATGAAGTCTAGGATTGAAGGTGTGGCTCAAGTGGTAGAGCGCCTGCTTTGTGAGCATGATGTCCTGATTTCATATTTCAGAACCACCAAAAAGAAAAAAATGACCCAAGTAGATGAAGTCTAAATAGGTAAAGTCCCTAAAGAGAGCATTGTGTCAACAGTAAAGTAGGAGAGGAGGAGAGCTTTGTAGTTGTTAGTGGTCTCTGTGGCCTTGTGAGGCTTTCACCACAGAAGGTGAGGATGTTTCTGTATAGAATGTGACTGGTTTTGTCTGAAAGTTTGTGCTTGTACTGAAGCCCAAGGCCTAGAGCCAGGGTGGCACTTGCACCACTTCCCTAAGGCACTGCAAGGCTCAAAGGCCTAATGCCAGCAGGGGATGTACACTTCCTCCAGGACAAATGAAGGGAATTTGTGCAGTTGATAGCTGAACCATAAGTGAGCACTTTCTAGTTTGTTTTTCCTTTTGGGGGCTTTTTACATTTTCTAAAGGAGCATAAACTCCGATGCTAAAAATACATGTCAACAAGATATTAAAAAATAGAAGAGTGCTGGCCACGAGACAACCTCTTGGTTAGCAGCAGAGGCTGGACCTTTGAGCTGCAATCCCAGCTTGGCTGCTCCAAGACCCAGAGCACATTCCAGAATGCATCCTCCTCCAAGAGTGGTCCTGTGCATGTGTGCGCCCCCTAGAGGACAAGACAGGGTCTTGGGAGGTTAAAGAGCAGTAAGGAGCTGAAATGCTTTTTGGTGGTGGATGTGGTGGCTGGGTGAGTCATTGTCACAGACATTCAGTGTCTGCTGGAGTTAAGAAGAGGTGGTTTCTGCTGGGTGTGTGGAATTGGGCTCTGCAGAGGGTGATGGGAGTCCCTGCAAGGGTGACATGAGCTTTGGTACAGAGGCAAGGAGGGTGCAGGGAGGACAAGGCAAGGGAGTCGACTCTACTGGCATGGAAGATGAGGTACAAGCCCTAGCTGGGATGGGTTTGGGTGTCAGGCTATGATGCTGGATCCTTCTCATATAGGATGGCGAGCCAGAGAAAGGGTGGAAGTCATGGAAGGTGAGTTTCAGGGGAAGCAGGCTGTAGGAATGGCTTAGGGAAGTCGCTGGTGAGCCCATGCAGTAGGACCAGCTAGCAGGCAATTTCAGTAGCACCCATCCTGCTGGAGAAACCAAGGTTCAAAGGGGTGTGAGGCCTCCAGGCTTCCACACACTCAGTGCTGCCTTCTTACCGTCACACCCCAGTTTCTGGACCTCTTAAATTTAAGGAGATTGTGTGACTACTCGTGGCCTGTGGCCTGTGGAATCACATGCCTTATTGTTTGTTTAATTTTGTTTTTCCTGATTGCTTAAAGCACTTGAAATGTAACAAACACTACAATGCTCTCTGACGATTCCTTCCAGGGCCCTAGAGGACCAAAAGGTGACACTGGTGTTCCTGGATTTCCAGGACTAAAAGGAGAACAGGTAAGAGGGGCCCAGAGATCTGGCTGGAATTATGCTCTTGAATTAGCTAACCGTTTGCAGTTGGCTGAACATAGCTGTTAACCTTTTCTTCTTTGAGATGCCATTCATATGCCAGAAAGCTAATTCCTTTAAATTATATAACTCAGTGATATTTAGCAGATTCACAGGGTATCTAATTCTAGAACTTTTTCATCATGTCCGAAAGAAACCCTGTGCCTATTTGCAGCCACTCTCCAGTTAACTTTTGTGATCTCAAGGTTCCTCTATGGCCAAGGTGAAACTGATTTCACCATAATTGGGAAAGCGAATGCAGCTCAATACCCTTGTGTGCTGTTCTCACATGTGCTGGTCGTGTCTCATCACCTGCTGGGCATCCTTGTTGGAATGTACACTCCCTGGGGACATCCTTTTCTATAGCCCTGGTATTAGCAAGGGCCTGGTATACAAATGAGACCCAAGCACTTGCTGGATGAAAGAGCTATAACTAACGAATAAAGCAAATGCCAACATTTAGCAAGTATAAGTTGGGGCATTCTGTAGCTGGATGAGTCTTGAGCCCAAATCTTTGGAATAAATACTTAGCATGCAGAACACTTCCTGAGAACTCCCAGGGTGCAGAGCTGGCATTTGTACCTTCCATATTGGCCTCTTTGAAATAATTTCCCAGTTGGTTTTTGTAGATGAGAGGGAAAGTGACATCCAGAAACAGATCGTAAAGACTGGATTGGATTTATTCACTCATCCATTCACTATGTCCTTGTCCTCAGCCACTGATCCCCTAAGGGACGTGGCAGTTTTCTGTACTGAGCCTTAGGAGCATGGAAATAAGACACAAGGTACAGATGAGTAAAGAGATGGCAGAGAGCATGACCCCGCTGCACAGAGGCTGCAAGAGTGGAGGGAGCCTGTGGTGGGGGTCAGGAGGGGGATTCTCCCCCTCCCTCCCCAGTGTTGCCACACTGCTCCTGAGGAGAAGAAAGGCTCTGGTGTCTGATGGTCAGCTCTCAGGGGCAGAGGCCTTAGTGTATGGGGCAGAGGTTTGGAACACTGGGAGCAGAGTCATGGGATGCTTTCACTGCCACAGACCTGCAGAGAAGAGATGGGACCAAGTCGGCTGTGGCTTAGGAGGAGGCCTGGTCAATCAAGCAAGGGCAGTTTCAATGCTGCTTCCCATGTGGCTAGGTTAGATGGATCTAAAGAGGCCGACATGCCGCCCCTGCTCCTAACCCCCTGCCACTTTGAATGACTGGGACAGGTGCTGAGCACTCTGCTCCAGCCATTACACCAAACGCACTTCCTCTGCCTCTAACGCTTCTGTGCTTGCTTCTCCTTGCTGCTGGCCTGTCAGGACTGCCTTTCCTCACCAGCGGAGTGGTAAGATCCAGATATCAGTTGTGGGCTTCTGGGGATGGAGAGAGGAGATTGCTCTGCTTGCTTGGTACCCCTGCGTGGAGGCTTCAGTGTGGGCCTGTGTGCTACTGGGGACTGGCACTGAGGCCTCAGAGGGTATAGAGGGTTTCTCCACCTGGCATTATTCTTGACTTGTATGTCTAATTGGGTTTAATCCGGAGCCTCCTGGGAGAGTAGATAGCTCTGTTGAGGACAGAATGGGGGAAGGGATTTTTGCATCCTTAACCCTGGTCTCCCATCACCTCTTTCCCAACATCCATGATAGCTCCGCATGACCAAGTAAGTGTTTAGAGGCAAAGTTGCACGCAGAGATACGAGGCTCCTCTGTTGAGAGAGTCTCTAGTGTTTATACCTTCATTTCTTTCCTAGTTTCAGGTATATTAACAAGAATAAGGCTTCTTGGTGGGGACAGATCTCAAGTCAAGGTGTTAGAAAAGCAAGCCATCATATACATTAGGAAACATAGGTTCCTGGAGGGACTGATGTGGCAGGAGGTAGACAGGACCATGCTGGGGCTGGATGCTGAGATGCAGTTCTGTCCTTAGTGGGAGCCCTGGAGGGTGTAGAAGACCACACCTGTGCTCTAGAACAGTAACTAAGGGAAGAACTCTGGAAACGGTCCATCTTGCAGGTGGCTATTGTAATACTCTGGCAAAAAGTCATGTTGGAGCAGTGGGGTGGGAGAGGTGCCAGGAAGACAGGATGAAGGTGAGAAATCATGGCGGCAGGAGTGAGAGGTCTTAGTAATGCTCCAAACAAGGTGGCAAGAGGAAGCCTGACTTCATTAAAATGTTCTCTGTATTGCAGGGTGAGAAGGGAGAGCCTGGCACCATCTTGACAGGGGACATTCCTCTGGAAATGGTGAAGGGAAAAAAGGTAATTATATCACCAGGCCCTGAAAGCTTCCCATCTTTGCTTCAATCAGCAGTCTTCTGAATAATAAGTATGTATCTCCCCATTTTAGGGTGAACCTGGAGTGCATGGAGCCCCAGGACCAATGGTAAGCCAAAGCATCTCTCCATGGGTCTGGGCTGGGGTTTGGAGCATTTATCTTACTCAGTTATGCTGTCTGGGTTGTGAAAATACAAAGGACATGGCAAAATGTGTGTTAGGGTAGGCAAACTGCAGTTAACATAAAAAGCTCAGTGGTTAGCTAGGTGTAGTGGCAAGTGCCTATAATCCTAGCACTTGGAGGCCAAGGCAGGAGGATCACAAGTTCGAGGCCAGTCTGGGATACACAGCAAGATTCTGTCTTGAAAAAAAACAAATAAACAAACAAACAAGAAAAACCTCAGAGGTTGAACACAGTAGCAGCTCATTTCTTACTTGTGCAAAGGTCATTGTGGTTGTTCCCTATTGGGCCTTTCCCCTCCAGGCGGTGACTCAGAGATCTAGGACGCCTTCATGCTATGACTCTGCTGCTTTGTGGATTCAAGTCACACCAGCATCTAGCTGCTGGGAGGCTGGACTGGGGAGGGAAAAGACTGTGAAGAAAATGAACATCACTTCTAGCACATTCCACTGGCCAGAACTCAGATTCCTGGGGCCTCAGACACGCAGTGTAGCTATGTGTTCAGGAACGAGGGGAATCAGCAGTTGCCAGCTGAAGATTCCCGATTGCCAGGAACCCTTTAAATCCCCCTGGGCTTTTAGGCTTCAAGTCTTGGATCTGCTGTGGGGCTTTGAGCCTGCCCTCCTCTCTCAGGGTTTTTGTTTGCCCACATGTATGGGAAGGGATGGGATTAGTACTAGGTGATATTATGGCCTCTCTGTGCTTGCTGTTCTAGGAGTCCTATAAACACAAATTTGGGCTTCTGAACAATTTTGCTAAGCATTGTTTCTCTCAGTAATGAGCCCTCAATTTCCCTGTCTTAATTCTCTCCCCAAAATGAAGAAAGTGCGGGTGTAGAACACCACTGTGGGTCAGATACTGTGCAAGCCTTCACCTGGACGGTCTCATTTCACCCTCCCAACCCTCAGCTGTGAACATCACACCCCTGTTGATAGACAAGGCGACTGAGGCTCGCAGAGGTTAAGGAAACTGCCCACTGTCACATCGTTTGCAAGGGACAGATGGGGATTGAGGTCAGCTTGACACACCCTATGTCCAGACTCTTTCCCTGCACCCCAAAGCCTTCCAAGGAAAAAGCTGCCCTTGATTTTCTTGAAACACTGTGGGCTACAGAATTATACATGGGGTTTGTTTGGGTGAAGCCAGCCCTCAGGCCTTGAGAGAGAAGATGACATGTTATATAGCAGACATGTGTCCTTGGCCTATAATCTTGAAGGTGCATCTCTCAGAAGACCTTCTAAGACCTTTGGTCCCTGAAGTCAGATGGAACGGACACACTACAGTGAGGTAGCTGAGAGTTAAGACAGACTGCAAGAGTCTTGTTCCCAACTAGTTAAGCACTCATAACCTCCAATACCGTGGGAAATACTAACAGCAGTGGGGCCAGCAGGTGGCTGCAGATGGCCATGGCAGTTGTCCCACTGAAGGCCAGCTTGCACACAGCTTGTCAGACACAGTCAGTGGGGGCACCATTTAATTTGCATGAAGATGCCATATGGCCAACTGTGGCCCTAGTGACTAACATAGCTACCAACTCCTTTGCAAATGCATCGGGGTCTTGTTACTCAAAGTGTGGTCTGTGGACCATCATCACTCACATCTCCTGGGAGCTTGTTAGAAATGCAGAGCTGTCTAGACCCCAGCTCAGACACAGCAGATCTACACTTTACTAGGGTCGGTGGTTCCTGTACATGTGGACGTTGTTAATGTCTAGTGTTGCACTAGAACCTACAAACCAAGTGGCCCATGCCCTGTTAACTCCTTTTGTCTTTGCTTTTCTTTCCTAAGAGTAATAGGGACTTGAACTTTATGTACAGACCCTGTTTCAATGCAGTCCTTATCTGCCATCTCTCAGGCATGGCTAGCCATGTTAATGGTGGCAGGACAAAGGGACTGGGAAGGCCCCAGGCTTATACCTGGCAATCCTGTGGGAGCCAGGGCAGACCCAGCTATAGGAGTGGGAAGCCACAGAGCGGAGATAGTGTGTGTTCTGGAAAAGAAGCACGTCATTGGCGGCTTTGTAGACGAAGTAGTCTGCATCACAATACCAAAAGCACGATGATTCCCAAAGGAGCTTGGGCAGGGGCTCAACAAACCTATGGACCCAGAAAGCAAGTGCTGAATAGGGCCCAGGGGTCAGGGACTCAGCCGGTGGACTGGGGTGCTAGGCCAAGACTGGTCCTTAGGACAGGTGGGAGCAGGAATCGAGTCCTGGAGCAGGTTTTAGGCAGGCTGGGATGATGGGGGAGGCAGAGCTGCATTATTCAGAATGGGGGATGTGGGAGATCTTGGGACATATGACACAGGGCAAAAGTCCACATTCGAAACCAGCAGCACATAGCTACCTGGGAGCTGAGGCCCTGAGTTGTTGGCCTCTGGCTCCTTTGTTCTCCCTGAGTTGGGTCCAGGGTCTGGGACCGGGGAGCCTGCGGGAAAGTGGGGTGTGCTGAGGATTTGAGCAGGCACTTCTAGCTGAGAAAGAGAGTCAGGAGACAAGAAGCCAGACAGATGGTTACTTCATAATTTCTCCTTGCTGCACCCATCCTATCCCTGGTTCATTGTCACCACTGCCCACAAAAGCAGACTGGGTCTCCCCATCCCTCTGGACCTTGAGTTTCTGTTGTTTCCTAGTCTAGGGTTTGTTTTGCCTCTAGGGCCCCAAAGGACCACCAGGACACAAAGGAGAATTCGGCCTTCCGGGACGACCTGTAGGTATTGGTGCTCCTCAGATGGGAGGTGGGGGGCATGTGGCAAGGTTGGCCCTATGGACAGGGAGCTTACTAAAGAGTCTCCCGTGGGTCTCAGGGTCGCCCAGGACTGAATGGCCTCAAGGGTGCCAAAGGAGATCGAGGAGTCATGATGCTGGTGAGTGCCACAACCCTCGCCCACACCCCCAGTTCTGGTGGATTCAGAACTGTTTTTCGACTTCCTTCACTGCCACTTCCAAAGGTCCTGGAACCAGCCTTGTCCCCTGGCTGGCTCTCAGAAGGGTCCCTGTCACCTAGAGCACCTCAGTGGGGCGTCATCCTCCTCCTGCAAACCCTAGAGACAGGGTGGGAAAAGGGGACTTGGGCATGCTCAAGAAATGCAGTTCCACAACCCAGGTCTTAACTCTAGTAAGTGTCCCCTTCCTGCTCCTACACAGTCTCAGGGATCACTTGTCACCAGGAGCTCTGTCAGCACCTGCAAGTGAACATTAAAGGCAGAGAGGTCACATTGGAAGGGCCACAGATGGCAATGCTGTCAGTGTCAGCAGGGCCCAGGCTCTAGGAGGAGAAAACCAGTGTTATATTAAGCACCCGCTGTGTACCAGACACTGTGCAAAGTGCTCGTCAGGACAGTCACTATCCCATGAGACTCTGTGGGGTCCTTGTTTGACACAGGGAAAACTGGGGCCTGTAGGAAGTAAGGCTCCCATTGAAGGCCACCCGCTCCTAAGACCAAATCAAGAGCCAACATGTGTTCATCCTTTCCTGCTTCTTGTGCATCACACTGTCTGCACTTTGCACATCCAGAAATCCAGAAATGCAACTAGCCTAAAGCATTAGGTCTGACTCACACTCCTGCAGCCCACTGGAGCCACTAGTTCAATGGATGTCTTCATTTAGAGTGGCCAATGCAGCTGTCCTTGTGCCTGTGCATCAGAGCCTCAGCTCTCCCACTGCAAGGGAGGAAAAAAACATTGCATGGTATTAAGGCCAGGCTGACCTGACTTTGAAAATGATTGCTGTCTAACATGAGTTTTGCACTTCTTTTTGCATTTCTGAGGCTGGCGCCTTCACACTAGGGATGTGCTGATAGAGAGGAGATAGGCTCTGTTTCAGCTGAGCACTGCTCTGACAGTCAGTGTCTGATCCACTTTCTATTTTAAGTTGCTGTGTGGCCTTGAGCAAGTTACTTCCCCTCTCTGGGCCTTATTATCCACATATGTCTATCAGGGACAATATTTGTTGTTCTGCTGTTTTCCCCTTGGTTTGTTGTGAGGTAACTGATGTACAGGTGTTCTGTGGACAGGACTAGCCTGCCCCAGAAAGAAGCTAGTTGGCTTCTGAGGACCCTCCCTTCTTACTGTGCACCCAGAGCCCGGGGGGAAGAGCTCTGTGGCTGTTTCTGCATTCCCAGCACCCTGAACTCAATAATACCTTTCTCTTTTTCCTTCAGGGTCCTCCTGGGCCACCTGGTCCTCCAGGTCCCCCTGGACCCCCAGGAGCTGTGGTTAATATCAAAGGCGTAAGTTGGGATGCAGATGGGGGTGGGTGACTCTCCTGGGGAATCGTGGCCTGAGCCAGAGTCTGACAGCTTTGCCTCTTGTGCTTATTTCCTACAGGCCATTTTCCCAGTACCTGTCCGGCCACACTGCAAAACACCAGTAAGTAGCAAGAAGTCCAGACTTCAAGAGCAGACTTTGTTTTGCATGGATAGCAGCGCAGAAAAAGATCATTCTTTTGTCTTGGGCCCCTCCATCCCTGCATGTCCTCTCTGATCTCTTCTGTCATCTATGTGAAGACTCTCAGGTAACCAGAAGCTTCTAGATAACAGAAGGTGCTGAGGAGCACACTGGATTGTCTAAGGGTTCACAGTGGCTTCTTTTGGTAGCATGACCATGTCAGCTTCATGCTTGCAGGAGCATAAAATTGGGCAAAATAGGCCCCTTAAAAAGTTGGATGCCAGTGGCTCACCCTATAATCCTAGCTACTCAGGAGGCAGAGATCAGGAGGATCATGGTTCAAGGGCAGTCCAGGCAAATAGTTCACGAGACCCTATCTTGAAAATACCCAACACAAAAAAATAGCTGGTGGAGTGACTCGAGTGGTAGAGCACTTGCCTACCAAGCAAAGAGGCCCTAAATTCAAACCCCAGTATCATACACACACACACACACACACAAAACCACAGATGATGGTGGCACATGGTGACTCACGCCTGTAATCCTAGTTACTCAGAAGTGAAGATTGGCTATCCTGGGGGTTAAAAGTTAAAAGGGAAAAATTAACAAGATCCCATCTCAATCAAAAAACCAGGCATGGTGGCATTAGCCTGTGATACCAGCAATATGGGAGGCACAGATATGAGAATTGCAGTCTGAGGCCAGCCCCAGGCAGAAACACAAGACCATACCTGAAAAACAACTAGAAGCAAAAATGAGCTGCAGACATGGCTCAAGTGGTAGAGTGCCGTCCTAAAAGCTAAAGGGCCTGAGTTCAAACACCAGTGTCACCACAAAAATATAAAAAACACAGATGAGAAAAGAAACACTGCCAATCTGTATTCTCTGTGCTTGGGCCTAAAATCTGTAGCTCTTATTCTCTGCCCTTTCCTAGGGTCATGATACCACATGATCCAGAGGGCAGGCTTTCTCTCTCCCCCATTATCACAAGGAAACAAACCGACTCACAGCACCTCTCTGGCTTGTCCAAGATCACAGGGTGTGTTGGAGCTGGAATCATAACTCAGGTGTTGTGGCCACCAGGTACCAGGTGCAGGTGCTATGATTCCAAGGAGTGGGCAATTTCCTGGTCCCCCAGCCAGTCAGTGACACTGTCTCTGGGATTTCACCCATATTGTTAAGAGAGACTTACTTCTGTGGGGAAACCAGAAAGGGTGGGCCTGTCCCATGTGCAGGTGGGGTCACAGAACTGTACGTAATCATTCTCTCATTCATTCAATAAATATTTAGCGAGCACTTACCCAGTGTCAAGTACTCTGCTGGGCCCTAGGCCACAGAGGTGAACTAGAAGGTGTGGTCCCTGCTCTCTGGCATTTGTAGATCATGATGTAGAAACATGCTTTGAAGTAGGGTGCTAATTGATGCCTGCTGGAGGTGGGTGAGGCTGGGCTCAGAGGCTCCAAAATGACGGAGTGTGACTGAATGCTTCCCCAGACAACAGTCCATAGCTCATCTTTGAGGCATCCTAGTGTGCAGCCCAGAGCCCAGGAGCTCTGGTCTGGAAGGTAGAATATCCACCTGCATAAGGTGACAAAGGGGACTGCTGGCTCCCAGTTCCACATGAGGGCCACAGCCCAAGGAGAAGCATCCAGTGCCAGTGCTGGAGAGGCCCTCCTGAGAAGCTCTGCAGCCACCTGTTTCCATGGAAGGAGAGAACACAGCCTGCCAGGCAGTCGGCTGGCCCCGGGTCCCACCGTGTGTGACTGCTGGCAGTCCCTCCCAGCTTACGTGATTTCATGCTTCAAATGGACCAAGCATGTGACAGCTCTTGGCAAACTTTAGAGTGCTGTGAAATACTACTAGAATTACAAGACCTGCGTTCAGCCCCTTTGCAGTAACCATGGCCTTTGGGGTTCATGGAGTTACCGACCCCTCAAAGATGGGCTCAGAGCATTTTTGGTCTTTTTATTTCATGTTGCCTGGCTGGACACCATGGGAACTGGGACTTGGATGTTTCCTGACCAGCTTTCTAAGTGGACACTTTCAAACAGAAACACATCCTCTCATACCTAGCGTTTCACAAGCACCTTCTGATTTCAGCCTTTCCAACACCATTACAACTTACAGCTCGCCTGTGCAGGGACACAGCCTTGCTTGCAGCTTTCATCCTCAAATTAGAAATGATTTTTCTGGAAGATTCCCATCTCCTCCTCCATCTTCTCTTAGTGTCCCCTGAGCGGCTTGTAATCCCCACCCATAAGCATAGAGGGATCCTGGTGCCAGGTAGATCCCTTTGATTCACATGGGGAAAGGTGAACTATTTTGGGGAGGATAGGGGTGGGACTGGGGTTTGAACTCAGGGCTCCACACTTACAAAGTCGGCGCTCTACCGCTTGAGCTGCACCTCCAGCCCCAAGATGGACTATTAAATGCCAGGTTGCAAGTGGTTCCTTCTTAATAGATAAAGAAAGGCACTTGCTATGCAGCTGCTTTGCCACTTGAGCCACGCCCCCATTCCTTTTTTGCTTTATTTTTTGGATAGGGTCTCACATTTTTGCCTGGGGCTGACCTTGGACTGTGGTCCTCCTATCTGTACCTCTCAGTAGCTGGAATGACAGGTGTGTACTACCAGGCCTGGCTTATTGATTGAGATGGGATCTTGCTAACTTTTTGTCTGGGCTGGCCTCCAACTGCAATCTTCCTGATCTCCACCTGTGGAGTAGCTGGGATTACAGGGGTGAGCCACCACACTTGGCCCCCTGTGTTCCTCTTTGATTATACACAGTAGCAAAGCTGGTGGCTGGCCCAGTTTCAAGGCTACTCAAGTCACTGCTGGGAAGCTTGACCTTGCACATGAGTCAATTCTAATTGATAAGAATGGAGGCCAAGAATGCTTATCGTTAACCAAACCAGTGCTGCAAAGCCTGGGGCTTCCCCTTTGCTGATTTTTTTTGGCCAGTAGGTCTCAATTCTGTGTAGCTCAGGCCAGCTACCGAATAGCTCTCACAGTTGGAGACCTGGGATATCTGTGTATTGAGGGCTACTGGAGAGCTCAGGGCTTTGGGTGCTCCAGAGAAAAGGAAGGTCTGACTCCATAGCACTGCTTCTGCCACATGCCCCAGGGACTATGGCCACTTGCATGTGCAAATGCCAGGACAGGGCACCCAGCATCTGACCTGGCCTTTTTTTTTTTTTTTTTTTTTGCTGTACTGGGGTCTGAACTCAGGGCCTTCACCTTTAGCCACTCCGCCAGCCCTTTTTTGTGAAGGGTTTTTTGAGATAGAGTCTTGCAAACTATTTTCCTGGGCTGGCTTCCAACTGCGATTCTCCTAATCTCTGCCTCCTGAGTAACTAGGATTATAGGTGTGAGCCACTGGCGCCTGGCCTAACCTGGCTTTTCTCTTTTCAGGTTGGTACCACTCATCCTGGGGATCCAGAGCTCATCACGTTCCATGGTATGCACTCCTCTCCTTACTGAGTGTTTCTCTGGGACATTTCCTGACTTGATGGTTTTCATGTGTGCACTGGGCACAGGCGAGATGGCCAGGAAGGCCCAATGGAGTGTGCTGGGCGGGGTGGCAGCTGAACCCAGGCTGTGAGTGGGACACCTCTGTTTGGTTTTGTCGTGCATTTGTCTACTCTGCATGTCTTGGCTGAACCTCCAGTTAGCAGGAAGCAGTCCATGTGTTCTTTCTTTTGTTAATCTGCTCATAAGACATTCACTGATACCAACTTCTTGCTTGGTGTCCCATGCATGGGGCTGAGACAGATGAATCCCATGCTGTTCCTGCCTCCCAGGTTCTTAGAATCTATTAAGTGAAAGTAATTATTAACAATTAGTTACAGCACTGTATACCAAGAGCTAATACCAGGAAGAGCTGTGAGAGCACAGAAGGTCCTTGGTGAGAGCTGCATAAAGCAGCAGGAGCATCTCCTGGAAGGCTATTACATATGCAGAGCCCTGGGGCTGGGGAGGTGGCTCAGTGGTTGAGTGCTTACCTAGCCTTGGGTTCCATCCCCAGCGCTGCAAAGAGAAAACAAAAAGCCAGGGATGGCCACACTTCCCTGTAATCCCAGCACTCAGAAGTCTGAGGCAAGAAGATCAGGAGTTTGAGGTGATATCCTGTTTCCCAGAAAAAAGAAAACTAAAGTGCCAGGTCCAAAATGCAGAGCCTCAGGTCCCACTTACACCTGCCCAGTCAGAACCCGCATTTCACAAACTCCCAAGTGAGGTGTGTGCACAGGAAAGTGTGAGAAGCACTCGCCTGGGGGAGTTGATTAGTGAATGTCATGTGCTCATGGCAGCCCATAGCATGTCAGAGAAGGACGAGCCAGGAATCTGGGGCCTGCAGGTGAGCATTGCTCCCCTCCCACCCTCTCATGCCTGTGTCTCCCTTTTGGCTGAGGAGTCTGACACTTGCAACTTAAACAAGGAAGATCTTCCTTTCCCCCAAGACTCACCTCCAGCTCTGCTGTGTCAGCCTGACCTGTCAGGTGATGGTGTCTTAATGATGTCTGGTCCTGTAGCTTTTCTGTCACTTCAGTTGCCAAGTCTAGGCTGTGTTTAAACTCAGTGCTCAGATCTAGTACAAGACTCTGCTGTTTCTTGCTGCTGGATGGACCTTAGGGATGGGAGGCTGGGTTTGCTCCTCAAACCCCCACTCATTCCCTGGCCTATGGGGCTCCTCTGAGAAGGGGGGTGAATGGAACTTTCTAATGTGATGGGTACTCACTTAGTGCCAGCAGTGGTGAGCTCACCGTCTCTTATCTGTTAGCCCTGGCTGTGGTCTCAGTGGGGGGCAGAGGAGGCCCACAGCCCGCTTTCCAGTCCCTGAGTCTCAGACAGTTGCCCCAGCATTGGTGGGGCCTGGAGAGATGTGTTTGCACCTCCATGCCCACCCCTAGCAGGCACCATTAGGCTTCTGTTGCTTCCAGTCCTTCCCCTATACTGGGGAAGCCCAAAACCCGAAAGTTTGTCTATACTTTGTGACCTCATCTCTAGACTTGAGAGCACTGGGAAGTTTACTGGTCATGCCTCTTGGGGACCAGGAATTCAAAGGTCTCATTTCCACCCCACACACTGAGGGGGCAGAAGAGGGTCCTTTCCCTTCCCAAATGCTGCTTTTCCAAGGGCTTCCTCTGTGCCCCTCCCCTATAAAGAGTAGAGAGAGAAGGTGGGAATGGAAGACAGTCTGCAGAAGCAGTGCTTATTCCTGTTCCTGGGGCAGGTGTATGGCACACAGTTAGTGTTCCATCTCCCAGCTTTGCAAGTAGGGGTCTCAAAACCCTTAACCACCCTATGTAGCCACTCTTGGGAATTTCCTCTGCCACTTGTACCATTATGCTGCACAGGCATGGGTGGCCTGAGACTGGAAGGCTGAGCCGGTGTCTAGCCTCAGTCTGCATTCATGAGAGTGACTGAGAGAGCGTTCACGACAGCCCCTGCCGGGCTCCATGACACCGCTCTGGTCTCTCCAGCACTGTGCGTGTTTTATCCTGTCTTGCCTTACTGAGCTGTGTCTGTCTCCCTAGCCACACTCAAGGCCAGGGAATGTGTCTGGTACCTAACCTCTGGTTTCCTCATCTTTTAGCAAAGGATTTTATACCTGCTGATTTCACTGCGGCCTTGTCAGTCTGAGTAGACCTTGCTAAAGGGGCTTAGTTTGAAAACTTGTCTCAGAAAGGTCTCATATAGAATGAAGGTGATTTGTTTTCTTAACTGTGTGTGTTTGGTGGCAGGTGTTAAAGGAGAGAAAGGATCCTGGGGTCTTCCTGGTTCAAAAGGAGAAAAAGGTGATCAAGGAGCCCAAGGACCACCAGGTATTCCAGCTCTTGTTCTAGGTCTTGACTTTGACTTTTAGTCCTGGAAAGGCCACTGAGTCATAGAATAAGACTAATTGCATGACCACCCTGGCCATAGGAGAGAGACCCAGTCAAGGACGTGGCATGTCCAAGATGGAACATTGTCAAGAGAGACCAGAACTTCCAGTTATTTGTGTTGCATATGCAAAATGAGGCCCAAAGCGGACCAGGGACTTGCCCAGGATCACAGTGTCTAGGTGACTGGGCCTAGACTAGACTATGGGTGCCACTAAGACCAGTGCAACCCCTAAGAACTAAACCAAGGCATGGTCACTTCCACCAGGAAATAACCCTGGTTACCAACTTTTAGACTCTGAAAAGTTGAGATTTCTGAAATTATGACTGGGAATTTTATGAAGCATTTCTTCTTCAGGTCCTCCAGTGGATCCAACTTACCTGAGGCATTTTCTGAACAACTTGAAGGTGAGTATTCTTTCCTGAACATTTGACCTGTTATCTCTGTCCATTTCCTATTGCTATAACTGAATGTTACAAACCAGTAATTTATAAAGAAGAAAGGTTTATTCAGTTGACCGTTCTGGAAGCTAGTGAAGACCCTTACCATGTGATGTCATGTACCACCTCAGGTCAGGGTCCTTGGGAGACAAAAGAAGCAGGCTAGGGAGGGCTGCTTTTATAACAAAGCCATTGTCCAATAACCACTAGTCCATTGATCCTCACCACCCAATCACCTCCCTGAAGTATCACATCCAAATGTCATTAACATATGACTTTAGGGATCAAGTTTCCAACACATGGAATTTGGGGAACACATTTAAACCATAGAAATCTGTGTTCCAATCTCTTGGGTTTATGTCAGAGAAACTTCATCCCAGTCTTACTGAAATATTCCTATGTTCTCTCTTCCAGGTGGAGAATGGAGACAGGGGGCTCCGAGGAGAGTCTAATGGCAACTTCTTTGTGTCTGGGCCTCCAGGCCTGCCAGGAAATCCAGGCCTGATTGTAAGTAGTGACCTAAGGACCCATGGCTTTCTCTGAAGCCCCCAGTCTGACAAGGCAGTTGAACAATCAAGGGTCAGTTATAGTATAAGCTGGAGGCAAGACTTGGGGTGCAGCCTGCTCTCTCTCCCACTTGTTGATTGGTGGGAAAGTTGGCTGAGCCTCACGGAGGGAAGGGAACTAGCCCAGGCTATATGCACACTGGCTTACTCATGGACATGGTAGCAAACTCACTCAACACAAAGAGCTATGAATGGTGAGGAGATATAATGGAGACAGAATGGAAGGTACAGGCAATATTTTTCGAGAGGTTATCCAGTTCTTCTTAATTTTTTTTTTAAACATGGAGCTCCTAGAAGGGCTTGGTCTTCTTCGGATGAGAGGGTTTTCCAGACCATGAGAGAGAAGATCAAGCTTTGCCCACAATGAGAATATAACCTAGTTACTTATCTTGGTGACCAGATTATTGGTGTTGGTCACAGAGTTCATGCCAGGGGTAGAAGTGGGGTTCTACTTGTACACTTAACTTGCATAGCGATTTGGGGCAAGTCCTTTCCCTTTTGGAAGCCTCCTTCATCTGTGAAGTGCAAGGACTAAACTCATGATATCCCAGAGTTCCTTGACTCCAGGGATCCTGGGTTCTCTCTTGTCTTCAGACATAATGACTGGGCTGCTGTTTCCTGAGGGCTGACACCAACTGGAATTGTGCCCAGAATTGTGAATAATGAGAACAATAGCAGGAATCCACTGTCTTCTTTCCTCATGAAAGGAATAGGTGGGACTTCTAAGGGTCAGTGGTACTTTCTCTTTTGTTACTATGTTCTTGCCTTGATAGGGACAGAAGGGAGAGGCCATTGTTGGACCCCAAGGACCCCCAGGAACTCCTGGTCTGCCTGGGCCACCTGGATTTGGAAGACCTGGTGCTCCTGGACCCCCAGGACCCCCCGGACCTCCAGGACCTCCAGCTATCCTGGGCGCAGGTTGGTACTGTGAGTGGTGTCTACATTCATCCTGGCCTTATCCTTGTGCCCAGGGTCACATATCTAGGTGGTGTGTGAAAGACACTAACAATGGGCTGTTTCCTGGATAGGACAGAGCCTTCTTTTTTTTTCTTTTTAAAATTGAGACATAATTCACACTTATAAAATTCACCCGTTTAAAGTGTACAGTTCAGGGTCTGGGAGTGTTCCTCAAGCAGTAAAGTTCCTGCCTAACAAGCAAGGCCAAGTTCTAACCTCAGCCCCACAAAAAAAAAGGTGTACAGTTCAGTAATGCAGCCATCATCACTGTCTAATTCTAGAACATTTCATCACTAAAAAGAAACTTTGTATCAATTAACAGTCACTTTTCCCCTACTCTTCCTCCCAGATCTTGCCTGTTTTGGACATTACCTAAAAATGGAATCATATGATATGTGACCTTTTGTGTCTGGCTTCTTTTACTTAGCATAGTGATTTCAAGGTTTATCCATGGTAAAATATGTATCATACCTCACTCCTTTTCATGGCCAAATAATATGCCATTGTCTAAATATACATTTTTTTATTCATTCATCTGTTCATGGACACCGGAGTTGCTTCTACTTACCAGCTATTGTGAACATTCATGTACAAAGTTTTGTGTGAATATAGATTTTCAGTTCTCCTGGGTTTATACCTGGGAGTGGAATTGCCAAATCATATGGTAACTCTGTTTAACTGTTTTGAGGAACTGACAAGCCATCTTGCACAATAGCCACACTGTTTTGCATTTCTGCCTACAGTGTATGAGGGTCCCGTCTCTCATCTTCACAACACCTCATAACACTTGTTATTATTACATGTTTTAATTGTGCCATCCTGCTGGGTGGGAGGTGTTATTTCATTGTGGTTTTGGTCTGCATTTCCTTCATAACTACTGACAGTAAGCATCTTTTCATGGATACTGGGACCTTCCTGGCTGCTTTGTTAATGCCTTAGGGACTTGAGAACCTGGCTTAAGGACAAGCGTTGATTACAACACTCAGTATAAAAATCTGCCCATCCCTTGGAGCCTTGGTGCTTCAAATGCAAAATGGGTGAAGTTAAAGGAAATACTCAGACACTGAGCATTCACCAAGCACCAGGCATTTTGTAAATCCTTGAAGTAATTTGCTGAATTCTCACAACACTTTAAGAGAAGAATTAGCACCCCCATTTCACAGGTGAGAATGACACCCAGAGACATCAAGCAACCTTTCCAAGGTCACATAGCTGGTACCAAGAGGACTAGAACTCGGGTCAGTGTAGCTCCAAAGCCCATGTTATTTCTGCCATGTACATGGTAGAAAATAATAACAGGCCAAGCATCCCCAATCTGGAAACCAGAATCTGAAATGCTCTAAAATCTGAAACATTTTTGAGTACTGACATGATGGCCCAGGTGGAAAATTCCACACCATGAAACTTCAATACCAAAAAGTATTTTAAATGACTCATAATATTATCCTCAGTCTATGTTTATAAAACATGTATAAATCATGAATGAATTATGTGATTAGACTTTGGTCCCACCCCCCAAGATATGCAAATATTCCAGTATCAAAAAAAATATTCCCGGGGCTGTTGGAGTGGCTCAGGTAGTAGAATGCCTGCCTAGCAAGTGTGAGGACCTGAGTTTAAACTCCAGTACCAACCAAAAAATATATATATATATATTCCCAAACCTGAAACATTTCTGGTCCTAAGTATTTTGGGTAAGGGATACTCAGCCTGTAATACCATAAGTGCATGATTTTCTGTGGATTGGGTTGGCCTGAGCCAGATGGAAGAGTCTGAGGCATCAGGCAGAACTTTATACAGGAGGTGATCTTGGGGCTGGGACCCTGACTTAGCCTTGACTCTCTTGGTTACAGATGAGAAACGTAATTCAAAGTAGTCAAGCAAAAGGGAAATTTATTGGCCACGAAGGAGATGAACAATCAATTCATGGAAAGGGTAGACCATGGTCTTGACTGGACCATGCTCTTGATCAAGAGCAGCCAGAATCAAGAACTTGACCTCTACAAGGATTCTCTGACCATCTCTTATCTCAGCTTCTCTCTGAGTGTCAGCTTCCTACTCCCTTCCCACAGATGACGTCTTCTACATGGAGGGGAATATGGTTACTGACAACTTACAGCTTCCACTGTCAGCTAGAAATCTTAGACTTCTTTCTCAATTTTAGTTTGAAACATCTGCAGTTGGGCAAGTAATAGGGAAGGAGTCTGATTGGCCTGTCCTGAGCTAGGTACCATCCTTGGACCAATTACCTGTAGCCAAGAAATAGGATCACATGAAAACATGGTGGCTCTTTCTGCAACCAAATGGTGGTAGAGGTGAAGGGGAAGACCTCAAGAGAAGGTGCTAAGTGGCTAAAACCAGAGGTGCCTACGGGGCCTTGAGGGATGAAGAGTAGTTGTGGGAGGTAGGGACACATGGCAAATTGAGTACAGAAAACTGAGAACCTGATGTTCATAGCAACACCACACTAGGGGACCAGGACACCTTGCTGCATTGACCAAGGATTTTTCCCTCGCATAATATATGATGAGTCCCAGTTTACAAAACACTTGCATAGCTGCTTTCCCATGCACTCTTCCCAGCAACCCTGAAGGGAGATGAAATGGACATTGTTATAAAACTCATTCCATGGATGCAGTCCCTGAAGCTCAGAGAGGATAGGAGACCAGTACTGGTAGGAGGAATGACTGGGACCCATATCCAAGTCCTCCTCTGACCCACTAGCCACAGGACACTCACCACCTGTGTATGGACGTTCCAGTCCTGTGTCAGAACTGAAGATTTGCCTGCAATGACCAGAAGAATTCCATGCAGTAATTTTGCTAGAACTTGTGAAAACATCCTTAACTCAGCCAAGAGCTTTGCAGAATTTGGAGGAGACAGGGTCTTAGAGAGGTAGCCAAAGAGCAAAGGAACAGCTGTAAGAATACTTCTTTATGTTTGCTTGAAACAGGACCTTTTCAATCGGGGGATCACGGACTTCTGGAAAGTTACCACCAACATTTTCTATGGAGTTATGTGTGTGTGTGTGTGCACCCATGTGAGGCACATTTTTGTGGGAAAGAAGGCAGTAGCCCTGATTTGGCTTTTAAGGGCATAGTGATTCTTCAAAAGCTAAGGACCCCTGGCCGAATGCTGTACACTTTGCAAAGCTTAGTTTGTACTTCGGTTGTTCTTATAGTAGGCCTGTGAAGAAGAAATGCCTATTTACAGCTCACAGTCAGGCTCAGAGCTTGCTGTTTCCTTGAGATCACATAGCTGGTAATTGACACACTAGGGACTTAGGTCCCTGTCTCCTGGCTCCAAAGCTAGAACTCCTGTCACTGTACTACCCTGGCCTCTTTCCACAGCCTAGCCCCTTTTCTTCCTCTTTCTGAGCCCACTTCCTCTGTTCAGTGGTCACATGCTTGTCTCTTGGGGGAAATAAGTTGTATGAGTCAGGATATTTTTGGATGCAAGTGACAGAAAATTCAACTTAATTCACTTTAAACCTAAAAAGGCCTAGGGATGACTTGATCCAGGGTGATGATGAAGAACCTTCAGCTCTTCCCTGAACCAATCATTGTAGCCTTAGTCCCACACTGGGCTCAGAGCCCCAAGGGTACAGGTGGGATGCCCTGCTGCACTGGAGGAGCTGTTAGCACTCCTCATGATCAGCAGCCCCGGGGGACATTTTGCAAGGAGCACATTTTTTTGTAACCTTTCTATTCTGTTTTGTCTTAGCTGTGGCCCTTCCAGGCCCTCCTGGCCCTCCAGGACAGCCAGGCCTTCCTGGACCCAGAAACTTGGTCAGTATCATTATCAATATCTTGTCATCATCATTCTGCTTTGGATGGATTTAACTTAAAACTTTGGCTACAGTGTTTAGGGACTGGCATTCCTTTCATTTTGGAATGAGAATTCCATGACAATAGAATTGGCACAGTTCAATAAACAGAGGGTTATTTATTATCTATTCACATGGCTTAGTAAATAAGAGGATACAGAAAGTAACTTATTATTTAAGTTCTACCCTGTTAATCCTTAATTGACTGCTATATAGTAAGAACTAACAATATCATGTAAACACAGAAGCACAAGTGTGGATGAGAACCAGGTTCTCATGCTGGTCATATTTATCGTGGGTCATTCTCTGTCCTGTCAAAGGACATCTCTTGAACACTCATCATCATACAGTTCCTTGGAGTAGGGGTATTACTTTATTTTGGTGCGCAGAAAGATGGGCGAACACCTCACAGGGTGTCCTAGGAATCTCCTTGATCGTGACTGGATTTCAGTGAGAAAAAGAAAAGGCTGCCAAAGAGAGTTACCCAGCAGATGATGGGGTTCTGATGTTTGGGTACTTTGGTGGGATTTCTAAGCCCTGTGTGCATCAAAAATGTACAAAGTCTTTATCTTCAAGGCAAAGTGAAAATTAATTTTTATCATTTTTCTCAGCTAAGATAAAAATGAAGAACTCTCCTGACTGATAGTTCTTTGAGACTGAGTGCTGTTCAGCAGATTTTTTCTAAGTCTACTTCTAGATCTGCTAAATGACTGTCATAATCATTTTTGAAACAGAGAAAGTTCAGTTCCCCATTTTCTACATTGTATTTAGTATTTAATGTTGTAGCTAACTAGCCATAAGTCTAATTGTCTACTTACACATTTCTTTTTATTTCTTTCTGGGTTTTTGTTTTTTGGTTTTTTGTTTTTTTGAGACAGAGGCTCACTATGTAGCCTAGACTGGCCTCAAACTCATGGTCCTCCTGCCTCTGCCTCCTGAGGACTAGATTACAGGCATGCACTCCCATGCCAGCTTGCATTTCTTATTGCAAATAAAAACAAATTTGAAACTTGCTAAAAAGCAGCATGAGATGACATCATTTACCAGTGTCAGTGCCATCGAGCAGTGTGAAAAAAAAGTGGAGGTGGCAAAACTCACCAGTGACTTTGCTAAAACCAAGACAACTTTGTTGTTATGTCTTTGTTCTCATAGGACCTTATCTTCTGTGTTTTAATTCACTTATGATAATTTAGATTTGTGTTTCATCAAAAAGATGCTCTTCAGTTTCTAGTACATTATAGATCACATATGATGCAATAAGGTTTTTTAAAAATTGAATATGATGGCATGACTTTATAAAAGGGTTGATTTATCCAAACTGTGACCCTGTTCTGATAGTAACCATAGTGTTTGGAATTTAAAATAATCTGACTGACAGGTCACAGCACTCAGCAGCATGGATGACATGCTGCAGACAGCGCACTTGATCATAGAAGGAACTTTTATCTACCTGAGGGACAGTGCAGAATTCTTCATTCGCGTCCGAGACGGTTGGAAAAAGTTACAGGTAAATTCTTACACTCCAAACAACCCTCAGATAATAGTAATAACCTACTCCCACAAATGCCATTTTTCTGTTTTGAAAGCAGGTGCACAGTTTCTAGTTGCTGTTTCATGTTCAGTGCGCTCTTTTCCTTACAGCTGGGAGAACTGATCCCTCTTCCTGCTGACAGCCCCCCACCACCTGCACTGTCCAGCAACGTAAGTAGTTTCTCTGCCATGCCTCTGGCTTGGTGCTTCTTGACACCAAACCCCACCCCTGGCACCTAGCACCAAGATCTGCCCAAGCTCTGAATGACCAGCTTTCTGCATGGCTTAGCCCCTGGTGGAAACCCAGAAAATTACCAGGTGCCGATGGGACATTCTGGCAATAGAGTAGATGAAGAAATGGGTCCAGAGGCTGAGGACCTGCTGCTCCCAGGTCTTAGCTGAATCTTCCTAAACAAGGGCCTGCCCTCTCTTAGCCTCAGTTTACCCATTTGTGAAATCATTGGTTGGCACCAGCAGTCTAGAAGAACCCTTTTGTTTTTGACACTCTCTGCATTATAAGATCATAGGCAACTGACGAGGTCTGTCTGTGAGCCTGTTGCAACCCTTTGAAGCAGCTACTGTCCCCCATCTCGATGATGAAACTGAGGCTTCAAAGAGGTGACTTGCTCTATTATCTGAATGTGTTGGCTGTTAAACATGGGTCCTTTGCTTCCTTGGCTCAGGGCTCTTTTTGAAGCTCTTGAGAACATCCCCTCATTTTCTGAGAGTGACTTTGATTTGACCATGAAACTCCATCACAGTTAAGAGTCACAGTTAAGGGCAATATCAAACTAAAGTATTATCCCAAGAAACTTTGAACTTGCACCCACTTAACTCTGGAGAACAGACTGAATGCATATTCAGACTGTTTCTTTTCCTTTTTTATCTAACAGCCATACCAGCCCCAGCCTCCTCTGAACCCTATTTTAAGTGCCAATTTTGAGAAGCCTGCTGTAAGTATGATTCTTTCATTTACTCTGCAAATAGTGAATGTGTGTCTATATGTGCAAGGCCCTCTGTTTAGTGCCTAGTTCCTATTGTCAAGAGCCTATAGATTAGTGAGAGAGGCAAATCAGATACAGACAATTACAAGACAATGTCATCATCACTTGGGAGAAGCAAACCCAAGATGCTAGGGTTCTGAGGAAGGTCAAGAAGTCTGCCTGGAGGAGGTGACCTCTAAACTAAAGGAGAGTTGGGTTTAGGAATGAGCTAGGGCAGAGGGAGGATGCAGCAGAGGAAGGCAAGGGGAAACTCTGTGCATTCCTTCACTGGCAAGAATTTCCATATGGCTTGATGGATAGAGTTGAAGCAAAGAGGGATTGGTTTAATCTTCAGAGTTAAGCAAAGGCCTGTAAGCCAAGAGAAGAACATTTTCCTGTGGGCAGTGGAGAGCTACAGACAGGCAGGAAAAGGCGATGGTAAGATTGGCACTTTAAAAACTACCTCTGTTACAGTGTGCAAGTGGACTGGAGAAGACAGGAAGAGGGGTCCAAAGGCCAGTTAGGTGGCTCTGTATTATCTGAACTAGGGGCCCAGCACTGAGCCTATAGAAGAGGCCAGACTGGAGAGACAAGAAGGAGGCAGGAGGGGCCAGTTTGGTCATTGGTTGAATGTGGCATTGTAAGGATGAGAGAGAAATGATGCCCAGGTTTCTGCTTGTCTAACGTGGTCATAGGTTCCTTCCCAGGAATCATTTGGCACTGCTGGGATTAGAAACTCTCACTCCATCCCTTTACTAGCTTAAATAAAGATCTTGTCCGAATCATTACAGAAACTGTTTGGACTCGATCACAGAAAGTACAACGAGACCTGGGTCTCTTGTCTCTGCATTTAGTTTACTTTACCATCACCACAGACCCCCTTCTGCAAGAGTCCCTCTTTCCTCCTTCTCTCCAGCCCACCCCAACACACAGATGTAGGTTCCATGAGCTTGCATGCAGCTGTAGATTCTCCTGGCATTCATTCTGGCCCCAACTGTCTGTGATCTTACGACTGCAGAGCCAATCCCCTCTCTCAATTCAGAGTCTGGGGCAAGACAGTCTCTGTGGTCTATCTTAGGTCAAGTGCTCATTCTCAGTCCAATCAAGCAGCCTGAAGAATGAGGTTGAAGGCCTAAGGCCACTCCTTTAATAGGCACTTTCAAAGAACAAGGCATGGGATTGACAGACCCCAGAAACATGCCTCCTCCAGGCTGCCATCTCAAGCAGGAACTCACTTGGGGCATGTGAGTCTGAGATCCTTCTAAGACATCAGTAGAGATGACTGAGAGAGAGTGAGATAGGGAGGTCTAAAATGTGCTGTGGCACCTGGTCTGGAGGCATGGACTTGAGAGTCTTCAGCAAAGCCAATGGGGATGGTAGGGTTCCCCAAAGAGAATCTACACAACGAAAAGGGATCAGTCTGTGAAGAGCAAAAGCAAAAAGGGATCAATGGAAGAAATCTGAGAAGGAAATTGAGAGGTCATAGTCAGAGAAGAAGAAGCAATGCCAAGCAAGGTACCAGCCAACCATGTCAAAGGCTGCCAAGAAGTCCACAAAAAGAACTAGAAGGTGCCCTTCAAATTTAGAAAGTGGAGATAAGCATTTGAATAGCCAAGAAGATTCTAGTCGGGTGAGGAATAAATAAGAGGGGAGGAGAGAGAGAAGTTAGTTTAGGTAACCTTCCAAAAGCCCCCAAAAGAAGTGAGGGCAGTAGCGAATGGATTTTTAAAGCAGTCTTTTGTAAATTCAAAAGTAATACATATTCACTGTAGTAAATGTTTTCAATGCCTATGAAGAATGAAGAAGAAAGTTAGGAAATTATCTATAATTTTGGAGATTCTACCAAATCTCCAAATACCCACAAAATGGCCGTTTTAACATTTTGATTGTTGTAACATGGTCATCTTCGTAAAAATGGTATCTATTCATTATAAAAATATCCAGAAACTAAAGAAACACAAACAGAAGACCCAAACACCCAATCCTGTAATTGTAATTGTAATTGGCTGTAATTCCAGACGTTTCTCTGCATGTCTCTTTAGGAAAGGATAGGTGGAGGATGGGGTTGAAGGTGTGCCATTATCAGGTGGTCCTGGTATTGGGGAGCCTCACTCCATTGAGTCTGTGGAAATGGCCTCAGATGTGACTCCAGAAGCCTGCTGACAAAGGTGATAAGAGTGTAGGTCCCTTGCCTCGGGTGCCAGAGTCTCCAGATGCTAGAGAAGGTAGAAGACAGGTGGGGCTGTGTGGTGAGGGCATCTGAGGACTGGATGGGTTGAAGTCTGATGGCCTGGAAGTGGTCGTGGTGAGTGGGTGGTGCAGGAAGTTCTGATGGTTGGGGACATAGAACATCAAATGCTGCTGCTGGAAAGCCTTCTGGGAAACTTCATCACAGTTATGGGTGGAGTGAGAGTTAGGGGTGTTGCTTGATCTGTACCCCACATCTAACATGATGATAAAAGCCAAAACAGAGATAAGTAAGCAGAGTCGGGCTGGAGGAGGTGACAGGCTTGGCATCTGTCCTATACAGAAAGGAAGGAAAGGGGTGGGGAGTTGAGCAAAATGTCCAGAGAAGGGACAGGGCAACATGGGGCAGCCTGGATATTGTAGCTCACAGCTAGCTGTGACCAACTGGCTGGAAGCTGAAAAGGCAGAATAATGCCAACAAGGTGATCTGATTGATCAGATCTGATTGATTCAGATCTGAGAGGTAGCACAAAAATGGGGGAGAGAAACACACTCCTTGCTCACCACTGAGGACTCATCGTATATCCTTTGATTAAGATATTTAAAAATATTTTCCTGGGCTGGGTATATAGCTTAATGGTAGAGCACTTGCCTAGCATGCTAGAGGCCTTAGGTTTGATCCCCAGCCCTGCAAAAATAAAGCAACAACAATAAATCAAAACAAATAAACAAACAAAAAAGCATTTTCCATGATCACATGGGCCCCACTCCTGCACCAGCCTGTGTCAGCTGGTGAAATAAAAGTTATCCCTGTGATGAGTCTGAAGAGCAGGAGTGTGAGTGTTCCTTGGTTGTAGTATATTCCAGAGGGTGGAGCAGAAAGGTCTTGGAGAGAGGGAAGTAAAGGGATGGTGGGTTGGGGAGAGAACATCTGAGAGGAAACAGGCTGTAGAATGACATTTGGATTTGCCTGCTGAACAAGTTGGCAAGAATGAGAAGCTAGATCACTAGATTCCCTAGTTTCCAGAAAGTTCTATCCAAGCAGTCTTAGTAATAAGAGCCATGTCCTTCTCCTTTCAATGCTTTTTCCCCTTAACCCCTCATAAGATCAGCCCCAGGTCTAGGTAGGAGGTGGAAGAAAGGGTAGCCAGCAGTTGCTTGGGAAAGCTCTGAGATCAGGAACCAAAGCCAGCTTACAGCTCCTGCTGGGGACTGAGCTAGGGGTTAAACCAGACTTCCTGAATCCACAGGCTGGATTTAGGTCTCTGAAGTGCTTTATTTTGTCCAAGCAGTGCTTTGTTTTGTTTTCTCACTTAAGGAAGACATTTCCATCCCATGGGCTGTTCAGAGAGCTGAAACAGGCTGCTGAGGGGGACTGAGGTTCTCCTCACTGGGGACGGTCACTCCAGTATCGGATGGAGGTTGAGCTAGATAGTCTGCACCATGCCTTCCATCTGAAGGTTGGGCTCTTCTCTGGAATGTGAGATGGTCACAGCGCTGGAATTTGCCTTCAATGCTAACTGTAGTCTTTTCTCTCAATATTTTTCAGCTACGCTTGGTTGCTCTGAACATGCCATTTTCTGGGGACATCCGAGCTGATTTTCAGTGCTTCCAGCAGGCCAGGGCTACAGGACTGCTGTCCACCTTCCGAGCATTCTTGTCTTCCCACTTGCAAGATCTCTCCACAGTTGTGAGGAAAGCAGAGAGATACAGCCTTCCAATAGTGAACCTCAAGGTAAATACAAACCCCATTCCCACTGCCTTCTAGGTGCACTGGTCCCATAAGGACTGGAGCATTTGCCACATCTAGGTCCATCATTCAAGGACCCAGTTTTTCCCTCATGTACTGTGTGACTTTGGGCAGATCACTTTACCTCTCGGTTTCTTCATATTTACGGTGGCCTTAGTGCTTGGATAGCTTATGACTCTTGGAGCAGACTGGAGTCTGTTTTTTGTTTGTTTATAAAGCTCTTTATCTATTAGCAGAATAGGTAATTCTAATAAAAATGAGAATTACTCTTTTCCCAGTTTGTCTGATGAGAAAACTGAAGCTTAGAGAATGAAAGTGGTTTGCTCCATGTCACTGCAAAGTAGAATTCATTTCCTGGCTTCTGAGTCTTGGTTCCACCAAGAATGTTTTCTGGAGGGTATCAGCTGAGTGGACATAGCAGTGGAGTGCTGGTCCCAGGGCAGTGGCACTTCACCCCGATCCTGGCTCGGCACTGTCTTTGAGCTAAGCTGCCCAAGCCTGCCAGACCTTTCTCTGCCCCATTTGCTTGCCAGGAGGCTTCATAGGATCCACAGGTTATATAATGGAAATGGCCAATTCCTTTGAGGCCACAGAGGGGCTGTTCTGTTAATAGTCACACACATCCTGGGTCCTAGCGAGTAAGGCATAGAGTCCAGTCAATCCCTAGAACCCCAGTCCTCCAGTTTGGAGTCCAGTGGCTGCAAAGTCCTGTTCCAACCCCTCAGCCAATACCCTCCACCTGCTCTCCCAGGTTCTGTTCAAGTACCTTCACCCTCTGGCATAGTGGCTCCTCTTCCATCTACGAGAGGCCAGGCTCTTCCTTTCAGGAAAAGGGCAGAGCTTTACTTCCATACCACCCACATGGAGACTGGCTTGAGGTCTTGCACAAATTCAAAGCAGAGTATATATGCCTATTTTAAAAATAATAATAAAATAAAGACCTTAAACTGACTCTTGATGGAGAAGAGCCTTGTGCACACATATAGGAGCAATTGCCTCAAGAAGGAAGATGGTAGAACCAATGGATTCAAGGACTGATCATAAAAATCAAACCATGTACATGTCTTAAACTCTACTCTGTCCAGGCCCTGAGACTGGGGCTGGGGTCTTCAGTGTGAAGTGGCCTCTGGGCTCTGAAGAGTGGTACAATCTAGTCCATTTGCAGGCCAATGGCTTAACAATTCTTATGTGATATTTGTCTTCATAGGGCCAGGTACTTTTTAATAACTGGGAGTCAATTTTTTCCGGTGACGGAGGTCAGTTCAATACACATGTTCCAATATACTCCTTTGATGGCCGAGATGTGATGACAGATCCTTCTTGGTAAGTGGGGGTGGCATGACAGTTTTAGGAGGCATCCTAACAATGGAATGCCTTTATCAGCTATCCCTGTGGGATGTCACCAATGTAAAGCCACAGTGAGGCAGCTGAGGGCTACAGAGATAGCCCTGACCTTGGAGCCAGAAAACCTGGGTCCAGTAATTCAATATGAGACCATGGGCAAGACACTCCGACTTTCTGAACCTGAGCTGCTGTGCCTGTAAAATGGGCAAGAGAATTATATTTGTACCATAGGATAGTTGTGCAGATAAAATGAATATAGGTGCATGCAGTAGGCACTTAATAAGTGGTAAGTGATACAACCCCAGGTGGTTCTGTAACTCTGCCATGTGAGTTGCACTCTAAGTCTTTGAAAACGATGTGTGCTTTTCAGAATAGAACAACTCAGCAAACCTTTTCCTAGTGTCTTCTCTGTAACAGACCAGATTCCAGGCCTGGAAGGCACAGTAATTCACCTGCTTGGCTCCTACCCTTAAAGGGCTCCTGGTCTGTCAGGGAAGGTAGACACAGACTAACTTTGACTCTGAATAGAATGCTGTGTGGTTAGAGAATGGAGAAACAGGTAAGCGTTCATTTTTACTTAGGGATGAGAATCAGAGGAGGCCTCAATTAGGCTTTGAAAGATGAGGGGTGACTGGTCTGAAAGTGAAAGGGCACTCTAGAGGAAGGGACCTCAGGAGCAATGGCTGAGATTCATGATAGCAGAGGGCATGATTGGGCAATGCATGCAAGTTGGGTACAGGTGGAATAGGGTGTGTCCAGATGGTGTTTGGCTTGATTCACCACACTTAGGCCAATTAGCTTACCAAAATATATCACAAAGTGGTGTCCATCAAAAAGTAACATGACAAAATTACTTTTTAGGCCCCAGAAGGTTGTTTGGCACGGCTCCAGCACCCACGGCGTCCGTCTTGTGGATAAGTACTGCGAAGCGTGGCGAGCTTCAGACATGGCAGTCACAGGATTGGCCTCCCCACTGAGCTCGGGGAAGATTCTGGACCAGAAAGCATATAGCTGTGCTAATAGGCTAATTGTCCTGTGTATCGAAAACAGTTTCATGACAGACGCTAGGAAGTAATGGCCTTCTGATGGTTCTGAATAAGAGTTTTCCATTTTTTTTCTTATGTGAAGAGTTGACACTGAAATCTAAAATGTTTAACTGTTGTAAATATTACAGTTTTTTTTAAAAAAATTACACATTCGTCCTAAGAACAACCAAAGAAAACATACCTCATTACACTCAAAATGAAAGACATAAAGGACTCAGATCAAAGCCAAATCTGATCCATATCGGTGCTAGATCCTGCAGGAAGCCCATGCAGCGTGAACACATCCCAACACAGGTTACGGGCAGGTTGAAACAGAAAACATGGCATTTTCCCATCGCATCCTTCAGAAAGTAATTTCCTCTTTCTAACCATGGTCATTGAGTGTAAGACATCCTTCATGTTTTCTTCCAGAGTTAGTGTTTAGAAATATAACCCCTAAATTATATGTGTTATTATTTCACATCCATCCATCCTTTGCAACTGCTGTTCATACAGAGAAACAGAACTGCTCAAATGATCCTATTTGTATTTCCTTAGAGTATCAGACTTTAATATGTTTTTCCCCTAAAATATTATTGCCATCATGCTTTGGACTTTGATATTTTTACCCTATCATATTTTAGTGTGGCATCTGTTTATATAACTCTGATGACTTGCTGGAAAAGTTGAAACTCTAAATTGCCTGAAACTAGAAAAGGAATAGCACAAAATTGCTACCTTTCCCTTGGCTGCCCTCCTCCCATTCTCCTGATTTTTGATTTGCACTTGACAATTCTTGAATTATAACTGCAACTGAAACAAACAGGTTCTTAGGGGTGAATTTTCTGAGAAAAAATGCATCAACATGCTGTGTACTTTGATTTTTTTCTCCATGCAAGTGAACATAAAAACATCTTTTCCAGGCACTTTTCTTCTCTTTGATTCCCTCCTCCCTGCCCTTTATGTTTCACCACTGATGTGGCAGTGACCTGGGGTGTGTTTGCTAGCCCTGTCACTGCCACTGGAGCTAGTCCTTAGGGGACAAGAGAACTGGAGATCTTTCCATAACGCTCATCTGCTCTGTGCCTCCCGCTCGGTGGGAGCAGAAGGGGTGGAAGACGCTGAGAGAAGGAAACAGGACCCACTGGGACTCTACCACTGTCTCAGTGCAAGACTGTGGGCACCACTGCCTCTCTCTCAAGGAGGCTGGAATAAGACAAGCATAATGGCAGCTTTAGTTAGGAAACATCAGACTCCTCAGAGGCCTCACTTACTTTTTGTAATGGCTCTGCAGAATGGGTATTTCAATCTCCACTTTACAAATGCAGCCAAAACTGTTGAGGCTCAGGGGCCTGCCTGGTCCAAGTCACATAGATGGTGAGTGGCAGGACAGGTTTTGGACTCAGACTCTGTCTCACTCCAATGCCCAAGAACTTTCTAAGAAACCACCTCACAAGGCTTCCTGTTCCATCCTTCCTGGCTCCAAGTGTGTGACTCTGGTTCTAGTCTGACTCTTAGGAGAAACAGAATCACCAGGCAAGAGGCTGTGACACTTCCTCCCATGCAGCTGGGCTGGCTCAGGAACTCAGCAACACGAATTCACCCTTATAGTCCTTGAAAGAGGAAGGAAATTGAGAGGAAAAAAGCGGCCCAGAACTTCCACTTAGGGGCATCAAAGGGAAGAGTGGTACGAATCTTTCTAATGAGTCATGGAATAAAGACAGCAATACTGGGAAAGTCCCAGAAGTGGATGGTTGAGGACTAACCCATCCATGAGTTACTGGGGGCATGGGGTGCTTGGCATGGCCAAGAATGGCAGGAGAAAGGGGACAGGAGAAGCGTAGATGCCACCCATTTCAGTCAGAGTGCACATGGCACAGGAAGACAGGGCTTGGGAGAGAAAACAGGAGGAGAGGCGGCTTTTGCCAACCCCAGGAATGGCCATTGAGGTTCTTGCCCTTGTCTCCTAATCCTCATGCACGGCAGGAGGCATAACCAGCCCTCCAAACAGGAGGCCCTTAGTCAACTGCAACCCCATTCAGGCTCAGAATGACCATCCCAGTTCTGGGTCAGCATTCAGAACCCTTTGCTGAATACCAGCCTCTACATAATCCTGGCTGTCACATGCCAAAGGCCATGTCCTACTGGTCACTTAGGCAAGCTACATAGTCTGCTCTGCCAGGCTGCATTGTTTATACCCCACCTCATTTTGGGAAAGCCTCAGTCACTTTGTCTGGACTGACCTCTCCCAATTCCTAATGTGTGTGTGACATCCCCACACCCCTAGACCTGCCTTGCTTTTCTCATGCTCCCCCTCTGGACATCTGGTACATTTCACATCTGAATTTTGTCACACAACTAAAGTACAATGATGGAAGGGACTCCAAACCTTCACTCTATGCCTTTCCCTGCAAAGCTTCCCTGGGAAGCTGCTCTCAGGCAATATGGGGAGAGTTGGCACAAGTGGTTGATCTTCATAGTGCTAGAAGTCTTTTGGGTACTTTACACGAATGGTCTGAAGCCTGCAGCTTCAGGCTTCCAAAGTCTCCCTTCCCCAGCCACAAAACCAAAGGACAGAACTGGGTGCCAGTCAATGTCAGGGGCCAAGCGCCACAGGATCAGAGGGACCAGAATTCTAGTGTGGAGGGTAGAGCAAATGAAAAAGAAGATCTGGGGAACCCCCCTGCCAACCTGACATGGCCGTATAGTGTGCCCTGAAAAGAACCAAGAAGACAGGAAAAAGCAGCCACCCTCAGGTTTCCCATAGCCTCTGGACTTGGTGTCACTTGAACCTGCAAGGGATGTAGGCAGAAGAATTCTGGGAACTGTTGACAGCCCAGTATCAGTCAAGGCTATTTGTATGAGTCAAAAAGAGAAACAACTCAAAGTGACCCCCCACCCCAAAAAAAGTTGACTCATGAGACCAGGTACTCAAGCACTATGGCAATGTGGTCACTTAGTCTGGTGGGGTGTGAGTGTGTGCGAGTGGGATAGTGGGAGTGTGTGAGTACATTGTGTGTGAGTGGGACAGTGAGTGTGTGAGTGTGCGTGTGTGTGAGTGTTAGTGGGAGAGTGGGGGGGGACTGTGTGTATGTGCTAGAGAGTGTGCATGTGTGTTGTGGGACAGTGTGTGATTGTGTGAACGAGGGTGTCAATGTGTGTGAGTGTATGTGTGTGAGTGTGTGAGTGTGTATACATGAGTATGTGTATGAATGTGTGTGAGCGTGTGGGAGAATGTGTGCGTGAGTGTGTGTGTATGTGAACATGTGTGTGAGTGTGTGTGCTTGGGAGAGTGAGTGTGTCTGTGTGTGCGCATGGGAGAGTTTAGTGAGTGTGTGTGAGTGTGTGAGCGAGTGTGTGGGGGGGGAGTGTGTGTCTGTGCATGAGTGCATGTGTGGGTGGGCGGGAGGATGTGTGTATGCGAGTGTGGGAGAGTGTGTAAGTGTGTGTGTGTGTGCACATGGAAGAGTGTGTGTGAGTGTGTGTGCTTGGGAGAGTGAGAGTGTGTGTGGGAGAGTGAGTGTGTAAGTATGTACGTATCTGAGTATGTGTGAGTGAGTGTGCGTGAGTGTGTGTGCATAGGAGAGTGGGTGAGTGTGCATGAGTGTGTGGGGGTGTGTATGTGTGTGTGAGTGTGGGTGTGAATGCGTGAGTGTGGGAGAGTGCGTGTGTGAGTGTGGGTGTGAATGCGTGAGTGTGGGAGAGTGCGTGGCAGTGAGTATGTGTGAGTGAGTGTGCATGAGTGTGTGTGCATAGGAGAGTGGGTGAGTGTGCGTGAGTGTGTGGGGGTGTGTATATGTGGGGGGGGGAGTGTGGGTGTGAATGCGTGAGTGTGGGAGAGTGTGTGGCAGTGAGTGTGTGAGTGTGTAAGCGTATGTGTGGGAGTGGGAGTGTGTGCGTGGGTATGTGTGAGCATGTGCATGAGTACATGTGGGAGTGTGCGTGGGAGTGTGAGTGGGTGCATGTGAGGGTGTGAGTGTGCGTGAGTATATGTGTGGTGTGTGCGTGGGAGAGTGTTCATGGGATAGTGTGTGTGCATATGTGTGTGAGTGTGCACGATTGTGTGTGTGAGTGTGTGGGCGAGTGAGTTTTTGTGCGTGAGTGTGTGTTGGAGAGTGTGTGTGAGTGGGCATGAGTATGTGAGTGTGTGCGTGGAAGTGTGAGTGTGTGTGTGTGAGTATATGTGTGTGCATGGGAGAGTGAGTGTGTGCGTGGGAGAGTGAGTGCGTGGGATAGTGAGTGTGAGACAGAGTGTGTGTGTGTTGGTAGGAGAGTGTGTATGTGTGAGTCAATGTGCGTGAGTGTGTCAGTGTGTGAGTGAGTGAGTTGTGTGAGTGTGTGAGGGAGTGTGAGTGTGGGGGAGAGTGTGGGAGAGTGTGACATCGTGAGTATGTCTGTGTGAGTGAGTGTGTGTGCGTGGGAGTGCGTGTGTGTGCATGAGAGAGTGCGTGAGTGTGTGCGAGTGCGTGGGAGAGTGTGAGTGTGTGTGCGTGCTCGTGCCTGTCTGCCTTGATTGCTTGCTTGCTTATGCCTTTCTCTGAATGTGGTTCCATCCCTCCAACTGAGGATAGATTCCTTCATGTAGCAGACGTGCTTGCAGACAGCTCCAGGCTTATGTCACCCCACATGACCTCATCAGTCCAGGGAATGGCCACAGAGGAATTTCCTCTCCCCTTTGGGATTACATCAGTTCCTGGAAAGGATCTCAATTGATCCCACTTGTGTTGGATGTCCAGGGCTTTGGTTGGCAGCCCCAAGCCAAACGGATGAAGTAATTGCTCCATTTGAAATACACAGAGATTCGAAATGACCAGAAAATGGGCACAGAATATTGAGAGGACTAAAAATAAATTCTATTAGACCCAGTAATAGGGGCAGGATGTCATGGTGGGATTTTAGGTGATGTGAGATCATACCAGTCTTGAATTCTAGAATAAGGCATCTGGACTTTATCCTACAAGTGGAGGGGCATGTTGGGAAAATTTTAAGAATGTGAGAGGTGGAATCAGATCCATGTTTGAGATCAAGCAGGTCTTTGTTTATTCACTCTTTCTTTAAGAAATATTTGTAAAATAACTATTTTGTACCCCAGATCATGTTTCAATTTCAAGGTACAAAGATAAATCATGCCCCCAGTTTTCAAATACACCAAGCCCATGCTAATACAAAGGCCATTGCAAATCTGATTTATATTACCCCTTCTCCCAGCTCCTCAGGAGCCCTACAGTATAGAAGCATATGTGTGTGCTCATCTTGCTTAACCTAGCAGCTGGAGAAGGAACTTTCTGCTTACTTCCAGGGCTCCTGGGTCACCAGGACAGCACCGAACCTCCTCAAATCTCTTTGAGCAACAAGTTTCCTCTTTTTGCTTTCTTTCTTGTACTCCAAATTATATGCAGTCAAGTGTAGGGGAGGTCTCCAAATTCCTGAAAATAATCCCTACACTCAACCTTTCCCTGCAGCTCAGTGTCCTTATCTATCAAATCGGGAGGGGAGGGTACACAAATGACCTGCACTGAATGAACTCACTGGCAACTCTGGGATAGAGACTCTGGCTATGAATGGACACCTTCAGTGTTTGCCATCTTTGACCTGACCAGTGTCTTCCATGAGGAGCTGGGGATTCTTCCTCCAGCCTTGCCCAATGGTGTCTTCCAATCTGCTTGCTTTCTCTGCCCATCTCCATGCCAGGGCTGTGACTCAGTGTGTCCCCACAAGTTCAGCTCTACATGCCATGAGTGAATATCCACTGTCCCAAGCCCAAATATGCTGGCCATCCTGCCCCTCTGCTCCCCCTTCCCATAATCCAACAACTAAAATGTTATCATTTGGCTCAGTTGGGTCCTCAAGGACTCAGCCCCAACACTAGGGCTAGATTCCTTCTGATTGACGGGAGCATGTGCCACAATGACTGTTAAATAGATGGA